TTTCAAATTACATATTTAAAAGAGAAATTAAAAATATTGGAGATCACTGACTAGTTTCTTGGGTTATCTGGTCATGCATATATATATATATATATATATATATATATATATATATAAAAGGTTACCGGTATCTGATATACACCTATGATGACATTTAAAACTAATCTTTAGTAAAGTAATAAGTGTAGTTAAATTTAGGCTAAAGAAATAAGTATTCCAACATATATAGTTTAACAGTATGCAGCATGTTTACAAGATATTATTTATCTAAATACCTTTGACACATTTTGTGTTATGTCGGATGACGTCAACAAGTATTTCAATGTCCGAACTGCGTACTGAAAACAGCCAGTCGCAACGCTTTATTGCATAAATTTGTAATAAGCACGGGGAAGTTTATGTCTGGTTATAAATTTAGTGGATAAGGGACATTTGTTTGCAATTGGTATACTATCGCGTTTTGGTATATTTGGGTTGTAAATAGATACAAAATCTTTAAGCAGCTACAACAAGGTTACATAGTGTTTTTAGATCAAACAAAGAATCGTATTACTTATAAGATTGGATAAAATACTTATAAAAATTGCATAAAAGACTTCTTTGTGATTTAAAAAAAAACAACTCAATGGAGATATTCACCTTAGTGACAATTTTTACTGCTTTCTCACCATTCAATACTGATTTATGCGAATGCAATTTCAAGCCTCGTTTCTTTTTAATTTTCACAGGTTGTTGTGCTGTTGCAGATATAGGAAGAGCAGCATCCATATTAGATTGTTCAGACACTTTATTTTGTTTCAATTCTTTCTTCTTGATTTTTCTTTTGGACTTACTATTACTGATCTTTTCGGCAGCAGTAGGGACAACCGATAGTGGACTACTAAGACTGGTATCATCATTAGTGACAATTTGAAAAGAAGTTTTCATTTTCGACGATTTATTATTTAACAAACTGGTAGACGAGATAATACTCGTTGGAAGAGTAGCAGTAATATTAGTGGTAGATGTAACATTTGTAGTATCAATATCATCCACGTTGCTTTTTTTATGCTTCTTCGACCTAGACAATCCTTTAAAACCGGATTTGCTTTTCTTAGCTGATTTTTCGGTTAAACTGGAAGACAACATTTCTATTTAAAACTGAAAATATACAAAAAAAAATTTGAAAAAAGATGTGTAAACTCATGTATATATATATATATATATATAAGCGACTAGGTAAATTAATTTCCTGTTGAAAATTTTTACACCAATCTGTTTTTCTCACTCTATGAGTCCCGGAGTATAACATGGGGCTCCAAGCATTTCTGAAATTTCAGTGACAGTGATGCTGTTTTTCTCTCCCTAAACTAACGCTCAACGTGCACTCTTTTTCGGGTTTACTACAAGCTAGCAAACTAGGCGGAGTTTAGGAGTGCATCGGTCGGAAATCAAACATCAGCTTCCAGTCTGAGATGTATTCCATTATTAAACTACCAACATAACACTGATCTACTTTATTGTATTTCATTGACGTTAAAAAGACAAAAAAACCATTTAGTTCTATAGAAGTGAGGAAAGGTTTACCATAAGGCATACTGATTAAAATACTTTCTTACAGCATTACAAACAAAAAAATAATATAAGTAAGTTAAATATATTCACTACTTACTTTTTTGTCCTATAGTAGACTAAGGTATGCACTCATTGAAAAGACAAGACCCCACTCTTCATTACTTCAAATAATTGTGTTTATAAAATAAGCCAAATGCGATTTTGAAACCGTTTCCAACCCAACGAGAATCAGATTTCTTCATATAAATAAATTTGAATTCAATACTGAAAAGATGATTGAGATACAGGAAAAGGATATAAGCAAACAATGAAGATAGTCAACTTCATAATAAACGACTTCAGCTTAATGAACATTTCGGTTATGTATTGAGAGGATAACCGTTCAAATGTTAGGCGCTAAATTCCAAAAACTAAAAAATTAACCAGTCATATTCAAGTATTGGTTTGCAAGGATTTGATTGGTTTCAGGATTTCATTATGAACCGACAACCTGGGAGTAGTGGATAGTTGTTTCGTCCAAGTTTCTACCACCTCAGCAATACGCACCGGAAAGGCTCCCTGTGTGCTCCAGGAGTCATCTAAAATAGGCGATCTATTCCAGAAGTCTACGCCTATTCACCTGACCCTTAGTGATGATTAGAATCTACAACTAAAAATTCGACGAAATTTACAACTCGTGATTTCGACTAACTTAACCGCTTATCTTAATCAGCAAAGAAGTGGTTTCCATTATCTGTTTCTTTCATTCATATTTTATTAAAAAAAACTAAAAATGGAGTACAATTTGCAAACAGCGTGTGGTTGTTTAAACCAAATTCAGATCTAATGGTTTGAAAAAATCAAGGCATTGAGAATGTGATTTTCACTGCTCAATGAATGTAGAACAAAAAAAAATGAGGACTGTTTTACTTAAGTTTCCTTGAAGGTAATGACAAGCCGGAAATTTACAATATGGCGAGTTAAACTGTATTCTTTTCCGTTCGAGACACATAAAAGAACGCAGAATATATGCGACAATGTGAGCGTTAGATGTTATAAATGTAAGAAATGTTATATCACCTATGCGTACAATTGGGTGTAGTTCTTATGGCAAATATGTCAATAAAATTTCTTCGTGACAGTTAATTGAAATCTGAGAAATTTGTATTTAGCTTTCTCACATCCACTGAAAAGAATTTCATTCCACTTTGTATAAACCTAGGCCGTTATTATAACATATCCCTAATAATTTTTCGGAGCTTATCTTGGACAACTTTAACGTTATCACTGGAGAAATAGAAAACGCAGCCAAATTCTGATAGCGTGTTTCCCCATAACAATATACCTACTTCCAAGATTCAACTAACGGAGCGAAAGAGAACACCAACCAATTTTAGAGGAATGCAAACACGGTGATTACAAAGACATCATATTACTTACTACATAATAAACATTTGTAGAAAGCGCTTTTGCTTATCAGTCAGTCGTAGTAAGAATTTAAATATTCACAAACACATCTTTCACATCAAAATGCAATGCCATTCATAAAGTCATGCATGCATCAATCGCATACTTCTCAAAACTCTTCTCACTCATCATCAGAACAGAAAACACCAGTATTTACGAAAATTTATTTATTTCAAAAATATGTGATTTTGGCAACAGAAAAAAAAACGATATTCTCACATGAAAAAACCCAAACGCGCAGACAGAATAATGGCGGGGGTGAAGGGAGGGGGGAAGAAGACAGAAGAAGTATTCAAGAGGAGCACGTAGGGTGAGCAAGATCAAAAGCCGAAATGTGGAGATAAAAATTTAATGAAATCTATGTTATCATCCGTCGCTAATTCTCTGTTTGTATTTTTCGGCTTGTTATATACGTGTTACAACACGCTACTACAGTGCTCAGGCAAAAAATGATTTATATCAATGTATATTGAATTTACTTCTTCGTATAGCAAAAAAGTAGGTAGAAGGGAGAAATACATCAGAAGACGAATAATAAATAGCAAAACAAAATAAAGAGAATCTATGCGGGACAACAGTAATTTGTATTGTAATAGTAGTTGAGATGGTAGTAAGCAAAGTGGAAAAAAAATTGACCAGAATCCCACAAGCTTTTTGCAATCTTTTGAAACTATCCAAAAAAACGGGGATCAAAGAAGCTGGGTAACAGTCAATGCAACTATCATCTAGTAAAGACATGATACAAGTCTTCAGAAACAATAGAGATACAGCGGGGGAACAAGAAGGATTAAGTGTAGGAAAGTGTGGTGAGAAAAGAGTAACGGGAAATTGGCAGGTAATGTGAGAATTTATAAAAAATACCACAACACAGTTAACTTCAGGGTACAATGTACACCTTTGATCATCCTTGCTCTACTCATCTTTATAGTAAGTGAGATAATATATATATATGTCTGTGGAAAAAACGCCACAAGTAGGAGTAGAGGTTATACAGAGGTGGAGAAAAAGTGTATGTCTTCAGGCTGGAAAGAATTTTTCAAAGAACCTGCATTCACAAAAAAAAGGTTCACCTCAGCCAGTACGCATGTTAATATTTACGTATTTACTTTGTAACTTAGAAAGTGGACAGGATTATGGGAGTAGCAATGATGATGATTCAATTGTTTAGTGTCAATTTGGTGTTAACGTTACAAGTGATTAGAAATGATGATAATGACGATGACTATAGCAATAATAGTAACAATAACAATAACAATAGTAATAACAATAACAATAGTATAATAATAATAACAATAGTAATAGTGATAGTGTTTATACGAAAAATGATAACTGAACCAGTCTCGTTTTTAGATTAATACGAACCGTATTGTAAGTTCAAAGGTGTAACCAAATCAGATGATGTACTCGACGTCAACTGATGACTAACCCATAATTTGTTGATATGTCTATATTCCGACTCCACAAGAAACAGAGGATTTCCACGGCTAGATATTAAGAGAAAGATTAGAGTTTATAATGAGAAATTTAATTATATACCAATGAAAGCATAGACAAACAATAGAAAATTAAATTTTGATAGACATTTGAAAAACAAAAATCCACTCGGAATTGCTAAACATGTCAAGTTTCCTTGTGTAAGCCACTAATCAATACGCTGCATTATGGCGGTGAAGGCGACATGGTTAAATAATTTGTCAACAAGCTAAAGAATAACACAGTCTTATGTATGCCTTGATTAAAATTAAAGGTTTCTTTAAAAAAATAAGGACGCTGGATTTTCCTCAGTCAGTAATTCCGAAGTTCGAGTCCCGCTACATATACTTCCAACCTGCGTCACTAAGAGTTGCCATCGAATCACAACTAATAGCCTAAAATTTCAAAGGTCAGTTTCATGTAACTGACTTCATACAAATATTAAAATTAAATAGAGCACAGTCATTGCGAATCAATAACATATTGTATAAGACAATGGTACTGTAATAAGCGTAAAAGAAATTTACCGTAAATCTGGATCAGTTTCACCAAACGAATCCCTGTATGGTGCAGGCACTTCTGTAATACGGCGAGCTTCATCTGATAACATGATTACACGGCATGAATGAATACGTAGTAAGAAACTATAACCAGAATGACAACGTCTTGAATGAGCTTGCATACGATAAACAGCGAATTCCTGATTACTTCCACTAGAATTGCCATTTCTGTTGCTATTTAAGTTCGAAGATGCTGGTGTTCCTCCAATACAATTAGATTTCTGTTCGAACTGACGACAACCATAGCAAAGTAAACATGCCAAGTGTCCACAAACAAGGCATAAACTTAAGTCACTGTGTATATGATTTTCTGCATGACAACTGTAAAAAGGAAAAGTCACTCAGTTAAATGTTAATGGCCATACCACGTAAAAACGAAGATCCATCAACTCACAAAGACGAAAAAATCTTGACAAATTTTAAAGATGTGATTCGGTGGCTGTAGAACAGTTCAGTCAGAGGGGTAAGAATATTTGAAACTGGTAGAAAACCTGTGTTCTAACAATATCGTAATAATCAACCATAAGACATCAGATAATTATTCAGTCATCTGAACTGAGATTCAATAATATTTATATCGCTTCTACTGACAAATGATGTAAAAAGCAAAATCAGTTGTCAATATCAGCTATTGTCAAAAGTTAGAGATTAAATCAGATTCCCAGAAGGTTGTGTGTAGCATTCGCCAAATGAATTCGAACGGTGTACATCAGACTGTGAACTGATATCCAAGGAAACATATGTATCCTATTACATCTAGGAATGGACGGCTACAACAGCTCGTTTTATCAGGCAAACACCACACACTTTGGTCTTTTGTGAATAAGTCAGGACTAAAATGGAAAGGCTTGCTAAACGATTCCCGAATACACTACGAATACTGCAGCTTTGTTTCAAAAGACTAGGTATTATATACTTTAAATTACAAAGGTCAGCAACCGTTACTAAACTGCGAGCGGTTTCAGACGGTGTCGACCTAGTTGCAGAAAAAGTCATCAAAATCTTTTTTACATAAATGACAGAGAATTTTGATGTTGACAAAAATAGACCTGAGTGCTGACGGTGATATTAGAACTATCGATATGAAGTATTCTTCGGCGCACTTGACCAAAAAATAATGAAACGTCTAAAATATATGATGACTAAATGAAGTCCTTAGAAAATACAAAGCATTCGATGAACTCAACTACTATTAAGGCGTGTGTGCTACTGACAAGCTTGTATAAGAAGTAATTAATTGCATGTATTATGCTTAGAAGAGCTGAAGTAAAAGATCTTCGTGAAACCATTTCACAAAACATGAAAGGAAGACAAAAGGAACAAAAAAACGCAGAACACATCCAAATGGAGATTGCAATGTAGGGGTTCATGCATTCTGCGAGATAACCATAAATCATTTCTCCAAATTAACAATCTGCTATCAAATGCAACCGTGTTCTGCTGTCACACTATGACAAAACTACTGAAAGATGAATAACACCAGTTATTATAATGATTGACAAAAGAATCACACTTAGTAATTCACATTATGCATTAAAATTTATACAAATGAATAAGTGAAAATATGGTCTTGTCGAATCATATGGTATAAAAAAAAGAAACTCTACTTTGAAATAATTAACTTACTCCATATCGATAGCCAATAAAAGCAGATGAGCATATTCTTTTGGTAAATCTATTAATCTTGGTAAATGTACATTAGGATAAGGTGTTAATAATCTATCAGCTAATGAAGATTTTATAAATCTTGAACACAATGAATTGTAGTATTTACGACTTAATGAATTTTCTCCAGTTAAACACCAAAGAGTTATTAAGCGTGCTAACCATAACGATTCACATAGCATAGAAACATTTGTAGATTGACTAGACGTCTTTGCTTCTGATACGCTACGCAATGCATTTGAATGCAAATCTGATGATGATGATGACGGCGACGGTGGTGATGACAACAGAGTTAATAAATCACTAGGAGTTGATGGTAAACCTAGATAGACTAAGAGTAGACTATGTTCATGCATAGTATCTGCAAAACCAAAAAAAAAAAATGAAAATTGACAGTTTAATAAACTCACAGTGTATAAACAGGAAACCATAAACTTAGGCTATCCTATAAATATAACATTACATAATATCCTAACTGTTCTAACCCCTCCCAATTCGTAAGATGCAGTGCACCACTGCAAGCCAATGGTTATTGGTGAGCATTTACCCTCACACTCGACTTGGTGGAACTCAACGGCCCACGATTTCTCACCAGAACTCCAGGCAACTCCCTCTGGTAGTAGTCAGTCGCTAGTGAGTAGTAAATTAATTTTTCAATTTGATAAAACGAGCAATAAAACATAAATAACCTAAATCCACATTGTATAGCAGATTTTGTCAAGCACCGACATCAGCTGCAGAAACATTTGAAATCTAGAAGTGTAGTGCACAGCTGCTAAACATAGGTATGAAAATGGCATGAAAATCCTAAGTCTTTAGTGAAAAGTTGTAGATAGTGAGATCTATCAAGCCAACAGACACAACAGATATTCACCAACAGCATTTCTCAGTGGTGAAGATATACACCTAAGAATTGAGTGAAGTTAAACTGCGTTGGTAACTGGGTTCTAGTGTATTGGCTCTACAGTGACGTGATTGATTAATTCATTCCTTATTTAGTGATTTTCACTCTAATACTCTACAACTGCCAGAATCTCTTTCTTTTTTTATTTCAAGTAAATACCTTCCTTTTTTCGCAGAATACTAAATGAAAAAGTTTTATAAGTATTCCTTAACAAATATATATTAATACAAACAAAAGGAGATGCTGTGAACTGGGCAATTATCTATTTTAAGATAAACTAAAGAATAAGCAGCTAAACTTTCGAGTGGAAATGCTAATGTAATGTGAGTTTTTAAAATGTATATTTGGGTTTGGGATTCAGGAAGGAGGGAGGACAAAATTTTGAGGGTAGAAATGTACATAAAAGTACAGCAGTTCAAGTTGCCATACTTCACAAGGGCATGCATAAAAGTTTTTTCTTAAAAAGTGAGAGACTATTATAGACGTAAATGTAATGCGAAAAGAAAAGATCACATGAAGAATAATGAAAAATTAATGGATGTGGGGAGTTCATAGGGAGTGAATGCATCTGTGCCATTAACAGCAATTTTGAGCAATATATTATATTAAAAAGAACTCTCAAGCTACTGGTTCTTAGCATCTCGGCAATTCCAGTCAAACATTTCACACCGCCCAACATGGAGGAACACTAATATAGTAGAAGAATTTACAGACTAGTATCGTGCTTTGGTCCGACCACCTCTAACTATTTACCAACCTAACCATATATATCTGTTAAAAATGCTCGCGGAGGATGACGACGACATTGAGAAATGCAAGCACCGTTTCGAAGGCGTAAAGACGCGAAGTCATTTTCTGTGTCAATTGACAGAGGTTGGTTGGTTATGCATTGCATCTTCAACACATGTTTGGTAGACAAAACAGTCAGTTTTATTAATGGGAATGTGTATGAAACTTTCCCAACCGAAATTATTCCCAGAAAATAATGTGACATAATAAATTCGCTAAAATTTCATTCACATCCCTTGAAAAATACTACAGTAACATGATAAACAAAGTCAATGTCAATAAGATTAAACCGCTTTTTACTTTAAAAATAAAAGAGTACACATGAACAACCTGACATATTATCCGCAGAAGCCCGTTGACGAAGATCACCTGGAACATCGACACCTGTGATTTTATGCATAACAAAGGCTGCAATACGTAGGAATGGTAAACAATTTGCACGTAGAAATAGACTCAATGATTGCGTCAAATGTTTTAAATAAGCTGGATCATTCTGGGGTAGTTCTGTTGATGGAAGGCCGGACAGACCGCGTAAAAACACCCAAACGTCAAGTAACTTTTCATGAATAGTGAAAGAGAGAAAATATAATTGAACAGAAAATTTAGCATTACCAAAATATGAATCATAAACTGTGGAGTTACAGTGAATATGAATAATTCTGTTCCGCAAATAATAATTACATATATATATATATATATGACCTCGATGGAGTATTTCAAAGGCTGTTGATTCAAATGATGATACAATCAAAGCGTCACGAACGATTTTACAAAATCTTCGGTTAACATCATCTGAATGCATTTAATAGACGGTTATAACGATTAATAGCGTGTTTCGTCTAAACCTTGTGCAATACCATCATCATATCAACATATATCAAATATTCGGGAAATCTTATGGTGAATAAAACTACAGCAATAAAAAGGCAGCTGGACTATATTCAATAATAATGATGTTTTGTGTTGAAACACAAAATATTATTTACTTACCTCAGGTAAGTCCCAGTTAACTGATTGAATAGATGCATCATCCCATGTACATGATTCGGGTATCAGATTATTACTTTTCAAATAATCTAAACAATTCCTTTTAGGCTCCCAAGCTAATATTGTTTGAACTAATAAAGCTGAGTAACATAACCGTAATAAGTGTGTTTCATGACTATCACCAATTGGTTGACGTGGTCTACCTTCATCACAGGCAAGCAAGTGTGCCCCTAATGAAGCTGCGCCAGATTCTAAAGCTATATTTGAATCAGCTTCTTGAGCTAAACGCGTACACTGACAATCACTGAGACCGTGTTCTTCAAGACCCGGCCGCAAATGCAATAAGCTGATAAAGAGGAATGTGATATCCACCTATATTAAAATAAATAAAATAAATTAAAATACAAACAAAAGTAAGTTGAAAAGGTTAACAAATAAGAACAAAGAATGAAAGCAGATGAAAGAAAACATGATGAAAACTCATCATGAAATAATAATTTCAAACTATCTGATATGTACTTCATGGGATTTTAGACAATGAAGGGGATATTCACGTTATGAATCCAACATACAGCATATAGTAGAGTGTATCTTTGTTTTCACTTCAATAACTTTCATTCCACAGATGTCAAATAAAAAGCAGGAGAAAAACACTATCTAATCTGTGTCCTCTATTGGCTGATTTAATTACCTCAATCAACCATATATCTGACTCTGACTGCTATTACTAGTAGTAGAAGTAGTAGTAGTAGAGTAACGAAAGAAGGCAAGAGTCAGGCAACAGATCATTTATTAAGGAAATCAACGCATATTTATATATTTCATGTACATCACTATGGATATTTAAGCAAACAAACACGGTCTTCCGATTGGTTGTTTCTCACGTAAAGTTAATCTTTCATCTACTTGTGACTGTTTCTTGAATGTCAAATCCTCTATATGTTAACTGCATCCACCTACGCAAAGTATGCTGTGGTCGGTTTTGAATCAATCTTTGTTCACATTTTCTCACGACAAATCTTGAGAACTTAGATATTGACGTAAATTACTGTCTACCAATTTGGCTAGTAGACAGCTCTCACCACAGTAGCAGTTCGTCATCAGTACGATGAAACCATGTTTATTGGTTTAAAGAAAATCATTCCTAAAATGCATATATACTACTTTTGCTGTCAATATCGTCAATTCGGCATTTCAATAAGGAGATTACAACAAAATAACTTCATGAAATATTCTTAAACCAGTACGTTGTAATTGCCAATAACAGAATTGAACAAGCACTGTAAATATAACAACCAATTTCAAGTACTAAAGAGAACTTCAGCAATGCAAATAAAAAGAATTAAATGATATAACAGATGGGATTAATAATAATAACAATAATACATTGGACGAAACAATATATGAGTTTGTACTGGAAATGTTTCTGGACAATGGGAAGCTTAGAAAATATACTAAATGCAATAAAACAGTGCTAAGTAACAACGCTTTTCAAAACACTGCATAATATTTTCAAATGGCACTGGCTTAACAACGTAGACTTTCTCATACATCACAAAAATTTGTCAGATCTACGAAACGTATGCATAAAAGTACAGAAAAAAATGTAATGAAACTAAAATGAGCGAAGACCTGAGAGACACAAAATAATTAGATGAATATTAGTGAGTACTATTACAGTTAATACATTACCAGTTGCCATACACTTTTGTGCTTAGTACAAGTGTGATCAAATAGGAGTTACATCAATAAATCTATTGCGTAGTATTCAATTTAGGTAAGCTATATCACAGTGAGTTTAGGAAATTCAGTAAGAGTAAACATTAATACAAGAATAGAATTCTGGAAACTGCGCTAGCGTATATCATTCCACAAAAACACAATTGTGGTCATGTCCCCAGTACAACGTACTGCCCATAATCATATTAAAATACTCATATAACTCTCAAACTTTGTCAACATAGCCAGCCCTATTATCTTTTTATCATTCATCTCATGCTTCCGGCATCCATCATTCCTATTGTTGTACACAGAATCGATAAAAGGCGATTCAGTAATCAATCAAACAGACCCTATCGAATCAATTAGACGACGACATAATCTAATGTACGAAATAACTGGCATTAAGTGCGAGAGTAATTCCACGAATCCAGTAGATTTCAGTGTGCTACGTTATCGGAATATAAGAATTTAACAGAGGGTAGAAAGTAAACTAGTAATTGTAATGCAACTAATCACACACACAGCTACAGTTCTAAAGGATAATACACTCAAGTGGACAAGTAGGTTGATCAGTGAATCTATGTTCACCTAATCTACATACACTGTACGCATGCAACACTGGTATCAGAAATGTGTTTAGCACAATTGTCAATAAAATCGAATGATAAGAAATCATCAAATTACATGCCTGAATAGGAATGATGGACTAAAACAGAATCCGACCTGGTTACAACACCTTTCTCCCCCCTGAAGTGACAAAATCAACACGAATGTGATATGCAAGTTCACTATGTAAACACACTGCCTGATCAAATCCAACAGTCTACACTTGATTTTGTTATCTTTACCAAATGACCAACTTGACAACGAAAAATGACCCCAGACTAACGAACGATGATCAAGTTAGTAAACTTTGCTTTGATACCATAACAGATGTACTATTACCTTTGTTATTTGGTTTAGTGATATTCATTGGTATTTTAACTTTCAACATGTCCTTTTAACTTGACCTAAGTCTATTTTCACACCCCTTAACTCTTTGTTATATATATGCTGAGATTTTGTAAATTCCGGTTTAATAATACTTTGATAAAGCTATTAGCATTAAATAGCGAAACGTCGGTAAAAACAATATCGTTTTGTTTTTTATTCATTGGGAAATACAAAACCTTTATTATCATGAATATCATATACCCAATGCCCAAATTTTTTCAAACTGTTAAAAGTGAACTTGGTTTGGACATATATACATGACTAAAATCTGAAATTTATGTGAATATCTTCATATGACAAAAAGTGTGCAATATGCTAATGACAAGAATTTGTAAGTCGTTTAGTGAGCGTGATGTCTTCTACAAGAAAGCTAAATGACAAAGCGCTGGACCAAGATGAGAAGAGGAGAAATGAAAATCTTTTTGAGAAACAACACAAATGACACGAAATGAAGAAAAAAGAAAGAAAAAACGAATAATGTTTACAATGTTATCACTGCACATCAAACAAACAATTCTGGAACCAGGTTTCCCTGTATCTGGTGTAACGAAACCAATAAACTATAACCCGACACATTACCAATAAATATATACTAATCTGTCACTGTATTGTGCCTAACAAAACTGCTCCATTATAGAGAACATGTATTTAACACTAAAACTGTGAAGAAATCCAGTTCGAAATGTAGACTGCCAAGGAAGGTTAATCAAGGATATATCTTACTCATATTTATAAATATCACTTGATTACAAGGAACAAATTAGTCTAATTGATAAGTGACTGATGAAAAAAATAAAAATAAAGTGATAACTACTTGAAACATGCATTGAAACACAGATACAACATTCCCATTTATAAAAAAAGATTTATTGACTTCCCAACAACTTACATCCCAAAGTACACTAGTAGGCGGACTTTGGATGCTCTCTGAAATTGAATATGGTGACGTTGAAGGATTTGCATCTTGTTTCAATTTTTCCAGTAAACCATCATCATCAAGTGTTTGAGACTGACTGTCAGCATATTCTCCCGTTAGTGGAATTAATAGGCGCCATAAAAAGGCGGCATCCTCGGTGGCTGCAACACTCACAACTGTCTCAGCAATGTCTAATACAGTAGGAGGATTATTGAGGCGACACCCACTAGGAACTGAATTCAAAAATATCATAAAATTATAAGTGAGCATATATATAAGCATATATATACACATATACATATATATCAGATTTAATTAATTTAATTTAATGATGTGTGTATATATATAAACATAGTCAACAGAAAATACAGGTTTCGAGAGTGTGTGTAATCAGGATGTGTGAGACGATGTGAAAATAAACCAACGAATGGGGCGGTCTGGACATAAGTTCAAGGTTGAAAATAACGACAGTAAGAATGATTGTAAAATAATAATAACGATGATATGGTGTAAAATTACAAGCACTATTGGTGAATGATGGTCAAATGTCAAATAATAATAACGAAAATATAATGAAGTGGAATGAACAGGATTTTGTAAATACGATAGCAAGTTAGAAAAGCACTACTTAAACCTAAGGTAATAAAATCATAAGAAAGGTCATGAAATCACAAAAGTCGAAAATGAACGATTGTCAATGAAACAGAGGAATAGAAGAAGAAGAAGAAGAAAAGAAAAGAAAATTGTGAAAGGAATTTATGTATGTTAAGAGATGGTCTTCTGGTATTAATTGCCACCGCTTCAGCTACTGATAGAAGACACAGTCGAGCTCCTCTAGATAAATTACTAAGAACGCGGGAAATAACTGAGAACGCCTGGTCAAGTTTTATCTGGTGTCCAGTATCTACCAAGTGGGCTAAGACTGCACTATTTACACATTTGGTTACTCCCTTACTCAACCATACAGGTACATGTTCACGCGCGCGCATGGATGAAGCCCTCTGAGTACGGTCAATGTAACTAGCTCCACATGAGCAGTTGAATTCATAGATGCACATTGATGAGGCCATCTTTGGTAATTTATGCTTGACTTGCTTTGTGAATACTGTTTCAGTTGAGGAGTTGAGTACCAGTTTAGCTGCAGGAAATGTTCTATCTACTGCTCTATTAAGTCGACATTTTAGAATGTCAGCTGCAATTTCCCCTTTGTAACTTAACTTAAGACACAAAGGTTTCTTTTCTACGGTATCCACCTTTACCTTGTCTGTAGGTATTGACATATACTTTTTTTTAGGAAGCTCTGTGGATATCCATTTTCTTGCAGTGTGAGTTTCAGTTTTTGCATTTCTTCCTTAATGCATTCCTCTGAACATATACGTTCTATTCTATAGCTTAGACACTTAACTAAGTTTCTTTTGTACTGAATCGTTGCGAAGGGATGGAAATAAAGCCAACAAATCCTCCATTAACACTATAAATTCCTTTCACAATTTTCTTTTCTTCTTCTTTTCTTCTTCTTCTATTCCTCTGTTTCATTGACAATCGTTCATTTTCGACTTTTATGATTTCATGACCTTTCTTATGATTTTATTACCTTAGGTTTAAGTAGTGCTTTTCTAACTTGCTATCGTATTTACAAAATCCTGTTCATTCCACTTCATTATATTTTCGTTATTATTATTTGACATTTGACCATCATTCACCAATAGTGCTTGTAATTTTACACCATATCATCGTTATTATTATTTTACAATCATTCTTACTGTCGTTATTTTCAACCTTGAACTTATGTCCAGACCGCCCCATTCGTTGGTTTATTTTCACATCGTCTCACACATCCTGATTACACACACTCTCGAAACCTGTATTTTCTGTTGACTATGTTTATATATATACACACATCATTAAATTAAATTACTTCATCTGATTTTGTCCCATGTTCTCATTGACCATGCATATTAAAAAAAACAACTATCTGACTATTGTTCCATCCCATCTTATAATACTTGTTGCACAATACACTTTCTGATATGATTCTAATTTGCGCTTACTGGCTGGTTATTGTATGCTTAAATTAATTGATTTATAATTGTATGCCTGAAGAAGAATCTATTGAAACCACAATTGTTCGCTCTAAATATTTTGTTCTGAATGAATTATGGGAATATTCAATTTATGAATAAGTTTTATTTAAAAGGTAACAATATTTAGCTGGTTAGCTAGGAATATGGACGAAAAATGCATCTGACATAACACATCTCTAACCAATATCAAAGTGATTGAGCTCAATGCTGTCACAATAGTAAGATGAATAAATGTGGAAGAAATATGTTAAAAAATTTATCTACTCACTATCCTTGAGTTGTGATTTCGGTATAGCATCGAATGGGACACAATAACACCACCACCACCAATAAAATGGATGATTTTTTAATTGAGGCCAACAGCATCGATGATTAGACCATTCTGAAGCATTTGTATCACATGATGTAGGGCAACCACGTGAAACAACAGCATGACGCGAATGAGCTGCGAAAGAAATTCGTAATAAATTCCCAAGTCCACAAAGTTGACGCTCAGCAAGACCACCATTAAAGAAATTATCACGACAGCCGTTTAGTCTCAAAGTCTAAAAGTGATCAAGACACAGATTAGAAATAATAATAAAGTGATATATGTGGGAAATGATATTTTTGTCACTATAATAACGTAAGAAAAAAGCGGTGAAATTTTTTTACGTATACAAGTGCTACATATAATCTATTGACAACACATAATTAGTTATACATATTAACGTCAAACTATTCGACGTTATCTCATGACAGTTAATAAGTAGAAGAGTATCGTGAACTGAGATTTTATGACTACTGGCACTCATAAGACAGATGGTTTTATATTCAAAAACAGGAAGTCAGATATTGCCTATTAACCTAGGGGTAAATTCCTTGAATTAAGTGAGTCTCCTAATTAGTATTAACCTAATCTTCAAATGAATGATGTCCTACTGCGATTTTAGCTTCGATGCCTTGGATAAGTGGCCACGAATTCCGTCCCAGCAGCTTCCCTCCTGGGTAGTGTTTGCTAACCCTGGGATTGAGTAGCAAAAGTAGAGACGATCAGTACATGAAATGACGCTGTGGGACGAAGCATAGTTGCATCGACTTACTGTCCGTTGGTGCACCACAAATCCTACATAGTGAGGTGAGTGGAATTATAGGACTCAATGACTCTAGATGTTGAGATATGACCCTTAATAGAAATCAATAACAAACGTGATACGATTGGCTTCTTTTACCTCTTTCTGAAGGCAATACCAAGTAATCAAAGGTGTTTTAAATCCTTTTATTAAGTACGCTTCCCTTTTTAATACTGTTGTTCCTTAATAATTGTATTTCTCTTTTTTATATTTTCGGTTAGTTATTCTATGCGATTCACCACTTTGTGCTCGTATTGTATCATGTTTGCTTTAAGTTAAAACAGCCTGGTGCACTGACATCTTTTTAACAAACACACTAGTCAACAGAAACAGAACTACTTACTCGCTCAGATACAATCAGTGTATACGCTACACTGTGTCTCAATGATCTCCATTCCGAAGAAGCTAACCAGACGACATTACGTGCACTTTGAGTAACAAATTCCAGAGAGTTTTTAAGAAAATCAAACGAAGTAATAATTCCTCTAGTATCAGTCAAGTAGTCGTCTAGGATCGGTTCAGATACTGTAAGTCTAGAGGTACTTGGAGTCGTTGCTGGTAGTGGTTGCGGTATAGTCGTTGTGGTATGTCGGTAAGATGAAGCATGCATATGTAGAGATGTATAAAAGTTCATAAAAACTAAATGGAACTGTTGAATTGCTTCAGAGAGACTTATAGTACAATTATTTAATGAAGCTGGTATTTGGTTTCTAGGCGATTGTTCTGTATTTGGGCTAGTTACTGTAGGTGTAACAGAAACTCCAACAGCGTTATCATTGGCAATTGAATTGTATTCTGCTTGTGAAATAACTAATTGAACATTTTGATCACCTACTGACAGTGCAGGATTATTTGCGTACAGATTAACTTGAACATCATCGTCAGCTTCAACATATCCTATAATTTGATTATCGTCATCAGGTATATTAACTACTGCAGGTCCATTGTTAACTAGGAGAAAATATATACCAATTGGTTAGGATTATTCAAATATATACAAAAATAATAAGCCAGGCATTGGGATCAGCAAAAGTGAGGAAAAGTCATTATTGCTGTCAAATACGCGCTTTTTTATTTTTTTAAAAATCTGATATTCAAATGACAATGACATGAAGTTGAACAGTGGAGAATAATCTCACGCTTATATGAAGTAAGAGGACTAGACAACAACCTAATAAATGCATAGGGATAAAATCAAAGATAAAATTTTAAATTATACTTACAATAATCTTTCACAAAAACACCTATTAGCTAACCTTTCTTCCTTAACTGGCGCATTGGAATTTCCATAATAACAACTGTATTATGGAAAATAGGTTTGCATAATATACATAATTCTCAGCATAATTTATTGCACAATATTTTCTCTTCACTCAGGATCTTCAAGAAGAACATTAATTCATAGTATATTATATGATACAGTACTATTCGATCTGATACCTAAACTAATCACTTCTGATAGTTAACTTACATCTCTGAGAAACGCGCACCAGTGGTTTGAAAGTCAATTGAAAGTATTCGCGAGATAAGGACATAATAAAATGATTAAAAAAAGATCAGAATGAAACAAAATTTGATGCACCGGATCGACTGGAAATTCATGTAGCTCAGTGATTCAAACAAACTGTCAGACTTACAAGTAATAGTAGACTATCCCTAGCTTCATAGTGAAAATGGAGAAGAGATTTACTTATTTTTCAAAGTGTGACATACATTTCAAAGCATAATTCCTTAATGATGAAAAGCAGAGTGCAGCTATGGAATGGATGAAAACCCTTGACCATAGGAAGTGATAGGCTCAAAATGAACGCAATAAACAAACACTTATCACCTCATTAATTGAACAAGACTAGTTATAAAATAAGTGGATTGACAGTTGTCAAATTTTCTTTTATACATAATAACTGTTTTAAGATAACTGAAATTTTAACTTACCGACTACTTCAGCAACTTCGGTGCCACGTCGGATATTTGGGCGTTGTACTAGAGAATCCAATGATCTAGGCTGACATAAACCAGCTAATCGTTGTACAAAAGTGAATAAATTAGAAGAGACCAAAGGTGAAGAAGGCGATGGAAGCAAATTTCTTAAACTGTCACGACCATTTATTGCAGCATTATTGTTATTAGCAGAATTTGATGAATTAGCTGCAACATTAACAGTATCTGAAGAACGTCTAGTAGAGCGTCTATTTGTAGAAAAGTGTCGACTCATTGGATTTAAACTACTACTGCTAATATTTCTTCTACTACTTGCATTATTACTGTCTACCTGTGAGGTACATCTCCCATTATCATCATTATTCTCTTCTTGTATGATAAAGCTATGCCTAATTCTTTTGTCTAGTGCCTGAATTAACTTTGATACAATTTCACAATTTTCGCTCATCCCTAAAGCTTCTAGACTAGGTAGAGTAACATCTAGATCAACTAAGATTTTGTTCAATGGTTGAGAAAAGTGAGTACGAAGAGACTGCTTAATTAGATTAACGTTCATTGAAAACATATGATTAACATGCCATATTGCATAATCCTCCAATAAATGTGGTTCAATCATCTAATAATTGTGAGTAAACAAAAAAGAAAAACAAGAGAAAAAGAAACATTAACTAATGATTTTTAAAATTAAAAACAACAACAACACTGAAATGAACCGCATTAGTCGGAGTGTAATTCTCAATAAGCAATGATGTGTTTAAAAATGGTAGAAATGCTGATAACTGAACAGATCATAGTTTTCTTTTTTTAAACAAGGTGAATAAATATTTATTTACTTACTTACAAGTCACTTGAAGAAGTATTCTTGACACACATTGTAAAACAGTATATCACACTCCCAATGGTACAATCTGGTTCTCTGAGTCAAAGGTGGATGGATATTTAGTGTTCATATTCACCGAGAGTCAAGACCTTAAAAACAACGCATTCTGAGAGAGAAAAAGCTAATTATTTAACCACCATTACACCAGTTTGAGTCAGACACATCCAGTATGCGTAACACATAACTCTACTGGAAAATAGAAAGTTAATGTAAACCTTTATAGGGAACTATTGATGTACTACTACTAACACAAGTCGTATACATGGAAAATTTATGCATTGTGGAATACATTAGTTAACTATAATTACATTTCAACACTTATTTACAAACAAAGAAAAACTACTGAAATACAATTATAATTAACTACTACATGTCAATAAGCCATGTTTCTACCTCTGCTACACAATAGTCAAACGTAGACAGGTAGACATGAATACATCAGTTTCACGACATAGTCAGCGATATTCTCACACATGTTCTAAAGTAGAAGGTGAAAATCCCCAAACATTATACCGGTGGAGCAGCTAGAACCCATAGTCCATTAAATTTCGTCCCAGTGACTCAAGAATCAACGGACTCTACTTGTAACCTAAATGTGCCGTGGGGTCATGGATGTTTGTTGCTGGAATAACAAGTGGATAGATGCGTGGCTCAATAACTGACGCATTTAACTTCCCCCTAATGGTTCCAATCCCCCTTCAACTATTTCCAACTGAACAACTGTTTAGTGCCGGGCCTCAAATAACAAGTCTAGACCACATTTCGTTTAGAGTAACTAAATTGCAACTAACTAACTGTAGATTGCTGACTACGATAATTGAAAATTATCAACTAACAGCTTTTCGTATCTAACACATTTGGATAATCCTCAGTCTGAAAACATAATCAAAGATACATTTTTAAACAAACAAAAGACTCAAGAACAGTTTGAAATTATATGTTTTGTTAAGAATTAAACGTCTTTTGAGTCCATAATATTCACGAACTCAACATTATGAAGTGTACTTCAACGAAACATTGCATATAGTGGAAGTGATCTTCAAAACATGGATATTATGCAGAAGTTATCATGACTACTTTCCAAGCAGTCGACTCACGTCTGCCTCCCGTAGATGGCGCGATTTTTGTTCACGACCGCGTTGGAAGCAACCGCACTCGTCTGGCTGCCTAGGAATACCAATGTGACCGGCCTTATGTATCGGTAGTCCAGTGGTAGGATGTTCGCCAGCCACATCAGCAGTTCAGGTTCGATTCCCGACAGACCCAGACTTAGTCTACTGACCGATAGTAACCTTGGAAAGAAAGGAGGATTGAGCGGAAGACTCGAGAGCACATAGTGTGAATACAACACCATCACCACTGGAACTTCCAAGCTTGAAGTCTCATGTTCTCTCAGGGAGAGGCAAAAAGATGAGAAAGATTGAAGGCATCGTATGAACCATAAGAACCTTATCCTACCGTTAAGTAACTTAAAAACATGTAAATCACTAATGACAAATTAACGCAAACGGGAACATTATCAAAGTCAACTCTGATCATCATAAGATGACGATATACAATTAATTCACAAGGCATTAGGTGACTCTGAACATGAAGCAAGTACTTACAGTGTACAAAAAAATAAATCACAAAATTACGAAACCATTGAAAAATACGGAAACATACCGTATATTCAGTGGAAGGATAGCAGTCCGACGGTAATAAATCACCTAATAAATAATCCCTGGAATCCGAAAACATTTCCAACCAACGTGCTAGACTCCACAACCATGACATTAATGGTTGAAAATCAACATTATTAGGATTTGATTGAGAATGATTTGATTGACGATCTCCTGAAGATAATAATCGTAAAGATAACCATTCCACTGGTAAATCTGAATAAACTGGACCTAATATTGGTAAGTCTAGTGTAGATATGCACTTGCATAATGGACAACGGAAATCGAATGCCAGAACAGATGAATTTCGACTAGTAATGAAAACAGTGAATACGAAATATGAAGAGAAAAGAAGAGAATGATGTTTTAGTATACTATTTTCTGAATTTTAAATAGAAAAACTAGGGGAATACTGATAATCAATTAACATAACGCAGTGGGATTTAAATATATATGCAGTTGAGCAATAATTAATTAGTTAACTAATGCACTTTAACAAGCAAAGCGATGCTTGTTTTTTTAACAGCTTAATAAGATTCAATCTATGAATTACAATGAGTGATTAGTTGCTAAAAGGCAAATAATGTTATGTCTAGTCACTATTGCTAACAGGCGTCTGTTTGTCAAGTTCGAAATAGGGTCCATTAAGCCAGAAGAGTTATTTTAAGCTAAACGGATGTGTAACCGTTAGAACGGACAAAAGAAACACTATTGTTTAAAGTGAAGTAAATATTCAGAGTTAACCAGGATCACAAAAAACTACATTCCCTGTTAAAATTCTCTTTTTACCTAAAAAGCAAGTCTTGTGTTTTCGTTAGTGTTGGAAGAGTATTCGAGTCAGAAGCTATACACTACAATGCAGCAACGTACTACATATGTAGGTCGATTCGTTAGCAGTCTGAAATAAACTATTACATTGTCAATTCAGTTGCCACTACCAACTAATGACCACTATCAATAACAACATAATCCGACAATCAGTGACTTTTAGTGGTAAGAATATTTATCTTGGTTGAAATTCACAATATTATACCTGATACATTTTAATGCAGTATATCACTGGCTTTGCAAGATTCTAATGCAAAACTGCTAAGAGTTCGTGTCTGCATTAAAAATGGAAAATGAAATATTCGAAGTCGAAAAATTCGCACATCTAGATGGTTATGTGAATGCTAATGAAGAAGTAACGGATGAAGTTTCCTATCATATAGCGAAGGCCAGAGATGTATACGTCAATCTGGGTCACCTATGATGCTGCTTCGTAAATAAAACTAGTCACTCACCGATTTATATGATCAACGCGACCTTTTAACTGTCTAGCATATTTTGTCTTACAAGTAGTATGCATTGGATGAGAACAGAATGTGAAGAATGAACCCTCTTCGGCAATCGGATCGCGGCTAGATACAAGAGGACGCGGGTACCAAGGATCTAATATCAGGGGACCAGTCTCCTGCAACTGTTGCATAGCAAACACTAAATCAAGCATTCCAGAATAATCACTATCTAAAATCGAATAATAATAATAATAATAATGATAATAATAATAATAATAATAATAATAATAATAATAATAATAGGAATTATACTAATAATCGTTTTTGTTATTACGATAAAAATAATATACATGAAGTAATTTGGTTTGTAAGGATTAGTTATGTTTTACGAGTTGATCACGGACTGATATCAGTCTGATGCTCGCTAGTGACTTGCTACAGGTTGGAGTTTCCTGCAGTTCTAGTGAGAAGTCGTGACCAGTGAGGTCCAATTAGAAGTCACGTGTGGATGGATTTCCACCAACGACAATAGTTGGGGTCGCGCTACAATCACGAATTGGTAGAAGTTAGAATTCATGAGCCATTGAATCGGGTCCCAGTGGCCGAATGGTATACGAGCTTGCCTTGTAACCGGAAGGTCCCGGGTTCGAATCCCAGTGGGTGCGTACTGCCGATGATTCCCAAAACTAGGATGAAACAGCAGCTGTCCAGTACTCCCTGGTTTTCAATGGTTCTCTAACTGATATCAGTCCGTGATCAACTCGTAATACATGAAGTAACAAAATAAAAGAAAAGAAGGCGTTCAGCGAAGAGACTCTTTTCGGCGAATTCATTCACTTAGCTGTACAATCGCATATTTATACAATTTTGTTTGTGTGTGTGTACATTAGGTTTATGAAGTTTAGATAATTATGTAAGTAATTTTTGGCTTGGAAACAAACGTTAAGATGGAAAATAAAATAGAATTGATTAGGTGAGTAGAATTCAGATGAGGTCAGGTTGGAAACAGTGTTAATGAGTGGTGTTTAAAATCAGGTAAGGGTGGGGTTAGAGAATAATACAGTTGAAAATAAGTAAGTTAATCGGATGACGTAACTCAGCGTTCGCTATCCAAACGCGTCAACGAACATTTACCTTCATGGTTTTATAAAGGAGAAAACCGATGCCCCCGCAGCTCGATACTTGAACATTTGATCGACTCTGGACACCAAGTCAAACCACAAATAAACTTCAAAGTTATCTACAGAATACAAGGCAATCTTGCTAAAAGTGTACGGATCAAACTTCTCCACATCGCAGAAGCAATGGCAATTCATCTGCTAAATCCTGAACTTTGCATACAAAAGAAATTCGTTCATTCATTAAATCTACAATGGACGTAATCTTTCTTAATTTCAGTCTTACTAATTGTATTATTTTGTCCCTTGCATTTTATTATTTCACATCTTCACTTATTACTTATTCTCTACCCCACCCTCTTGCAATTTCTACCCTCATTAACAATGTTACTAACTTGACCCACGTCCAATTTCTAGTCAACTGAGTTACGTCATCCGATTAACTTACTTATTTTCAACTGTATTATTCTCTAACCCCACCCTTACCTGATTTTAAACACCACTCATTAACACTGTTTCCAACCTGACCTCATCTGAATTCTACTCACCTAATCAATTCTATTTTATTTTCCATCTTAACGTTTGTTTCCAAGCCAAAAATTACTTACATAATTATCTAAACTTCATAAACCTAATGTACACACACACAAACAAAATTGTATAAATATGCGATTGTACAGCTAAGTGAATGAATTCGCCGAAAAGAGTCTCTTCGCTGAACGCCTTCTTTTCTTTTATATGACTGAATGGGGATTTTTAAGTTACTTAAACGTCGCAAGGACCCACGGACGGTGAAGGAGCTGGATGGTTTCCTACGTTACTCCGTCAAACTTGCAGTAGCGAAGACTAAGGTGAACTTCTTAAGAGAGTGTGCAGATAAACATGAATACCCAAAGATGTACTGGAAATCACTCAGACGCAACCACATTCATCCGAACACCAGAACGCTGAGACGACATACGCTAAACAACATCGACTCCATTCAATCACGTATTCCTGAGCTAGAACGAAATGTCTACTCACGTGCTCATGTAGTTGAAGACTTAGATCCAGAACTACGCCAACCCTTCGAAGAATATGTAAAAGAAGTCACAGTGAAACAATGCGACAACATTAAATCTGACCTTCTTAAGAGCCTAAAGCCTTCAGTTAACACCGAACGTCCGTTCCCAAGCAATCCAGAAAAGTATGTATTCAACCTCTCAAACGTCACACTATCCACAACTCAACTAGAGGTGTTATCTCTTGGTCCGAAGTTCTGCGTAAAACCACGAAGTATTCACAAGCTTCAATGCCTGGTTCAATTTGAAAACCTGATAAACCAAACCTATAACTTGATACCAACGTCCGATGAGAACCTACAACAATTCAAATCAACTGTCCTCGACTGTTGCCACAAATTTATAAATGGCAATACAAACGGAAGATCCGTACTAACGAAGAAACACTACAAAGAGCTGAAAGAATTGATGAACAATGAAGAGATTATGCTGATACGTCCTGATAAAGGTGGAGGAATCGTAATCATAAACCGTAAGGATTATATCAGTAAAATGTTGAGCATTCTATCTGATGAATCTAAATTCACCAAACCAACCAACGAGAAAAACATGACGGAGCAGAGTGAACAAAAACTAACAGACATCCTCCGTAAACTGAAGAACGAATCCTTCATTACCAACGAAACGTTTGAATCCCTGAAACCATCTGGTTCAAATATACCAAGACTCTACGGACTGCCTAAAGTACACAAGATGGGCACTCCACTTCGACCGATCCTCGACATGACTAATTCACCTTACCACCGCACTGCCCAATGGCTAGCAGACCTACTTGAGCTAATCAGAAAACAGGTCTCCCGTCACTCAGTGCGAGATTCATTTGAATTCGTCAACTGCGTCGAAAACGTCAATGTTTCTAATCAAACGATGATCTCACTAGATGCTGTCTCATTGTTTACAAATGTTCCACTAACTGAAACAATCTGTCACATATGCGAGCTCATCCACTCAGAAGGAGTAAACATCGGCATACCCACCGACTATCTAAAAGAACTTCTGCTGAGATGCACCCTAAACGTCCAGTTCTCCTTTAACAATGAAATATATCGCCAAAAGGATGGTATAGCTATGGGCTCACCACTAGGCCCTCTGCTTGCGGATTTCTTTATGTCAAAACTCGAAAACACTTGTTTAAAGAATATGATTGACAACTTTGAACTCTACAAGAGATACGTCGACGATACCTTCATCATCTGCAACAAATAAGAGAATTTAGAAGATATCCTGAAGTTCTTCAACAACTGCCACCCTGCGATTCAGTTCACGCTAGAGAAAGAGTCTAACTCAAAGATATCTTTTCTTGACGTTCAACTGAAGAGATGCCAACAAGACGGGACATTAAAAAGATCCATCTACAGAAAGCCAACGTGGAACGGACAGCTCACTAACTTCCACAGTTGGGTACCTCTATATACTAAACGAAACTTAATCCGTTCACTAAGCCACAGAATACGTAGAATTTGCAGCCTGGACGCCATAGAAGATGAAATGAACACTCTTAAGAAAATCCTCCTTGAAAACGGCTATCCAGAAAGATTTATCACAAAATCAATGAAACCCAGACCAGAGAAGCCGTCCACACCCAGTGCTCCAAAAAGACTTCTATATATGAACCTACAGTTCAATGGAGACCACTCTACAGAAATACTGAGAAATCGGCTCTCCCGCTCATTGAAGAAAACCTTCGTTGCAGCTGAATTACGACTGACGTTCTTCGCGAGACCAATGATTCGTATGTCCGTGAAGGATAAGCTACCGCTGTTGGCCTCATCTATGTGCATCTACCAATTCACCTGCTCGTGTGGAGCCAGGTATATCGGCCGTACTCAGCGTTCGCTATCCAAACGCGTCAACGAACATTTACCTTCATGGTTTTATAAAGGAGAAAACCGATGCCCCCGCAGCTCGATACTTGAACATTTGATCGACTCTGGACACCAAGTCAAACCACAAATAAACTTCAAAGTTATCTACAGAATACAAGGCAATCTTGCTAAAAGTGTACGGATCAAACTTCTCCACATCGCAGAAGCAATGGCAATTCATCTGCTAAATCCTGAACTTTGCATACAAAAGAAATTCGTTCATTCATTAAATCTACAATGGACGTAATCTTTCTTAATTTCAGTCTTACTAATTGTATTATTTTGTCCCTTGCATTTTATTATTTCACATCTTCACTTATTACTTATTCTCTACCCCACCCTCTTGCAATTTCTACCCTCATTAACAATGTTACTAACTTGACCCACGTCCAATTTCTAGTCAACTGAGTTACGTCATCCGATTAACTTACTTATTTTCAACTGTATTATTCTCTAACCCCACCCTTACCTGATTTTAAACACCACTCATTAACACTGTTTCCAACCTGACCTCATCTGAATTCTACTCACCTAATCAATTCTATTTTATTTTCCATCTTAACGTTTGTTTCCAAGCCAAAAATTACTTACATAATTATCTAAACTTCATAAACCTAATGTACACACACACAAACAAAATTGTATAAATATGCGATTGTACAGCTAAGTGAATGAATTCGCCGAAAAGAGTCTCTTCGCTGAACGCCTTCTTTTCTTTTATATAACAAAATAAAACCCTTGAGATCTCCATTAATGTGACTGGAGGGTCAACAAACAATGCTCAAAGAGAAAAAGAATATGGTAATGAAATACAGCGGTGTATTTCTTCTTCTAAATTTCAACAATATAGACGATATTGTAATTCGTACTGCGATGTTCGCCTCAACTCCACTACTTGACTCAGTGATGTTTAAAAATGAATCAACTGCAAAGAGATTATCAACACTTTCACATTCTAGACCTTCTTTATGTGAAAAAATGTAGACACTGATGATTCTAGTTTTTGAAACAGCTCCATTTTTTTTTACAAATACCATAACAATTATATCTGTGACATTACAGAACTGTCAGCAGTAAATATAGCCCAAACAAGTGATATTACATGAACTTTTTTCTTTTTTACTTTCACAAAAATTCAATAATTCCACTCAACTAAAAAATTGTTTAGAGCGTCGGTGATTCAGAGGTAGAATTACCGCCAACTATGTACGCGGTCCGTAGTTACACAAATTACCAACTAATTAAAAACATAGTCAATAACAGTGCATACATGTACACTAATAAAATTAAACATACCAACATCCATAGAGAATGAATCTTCAGAAGGGCTATCCTTCTTTAATTCTAGACATCGTATACCATAAATAAACTCAGGTAAAAACCAAAATCCAACTTGTGGTGAGCCACGAGAAGCGGCTACAGATGTGGTTGCCACTGAAGCCAGAAAAGGAAGAAGCTGAAGGAGGAAAAAAGTAAACAGATAAAAAGAGAGTCAATGAATTATAGAGATATTATATGATGAAATATGATAGCATATATAATAAATAGCTTTCGATAAAAAGTAAGACTTTTTCATCATCATCTGACACAGTGACAATTATTCTTATTAATACTCAAAATAACAAATAACAGAAGATACCGCAAAAAATCACATCACAAACAGATAAAAATGAAGCTGTAATTTTGCAGCATCGAGAAACAAAAGAGAGAAGGAAAAAGATTCGACTACCCACCTGTTTCCTGTAAGTACCATCTATCAAGTCATCACTGTTTTCCGTTTGCGACTGATTATCAACAGGTTTCGACGCCTGTGAATCAATCATACAATCCTCAGAGGCTAACCGCCTGACAACTGCCATTGTAACAGGACCTTCTACCCAACCAATTCCACGAGAAGATAAAACTGACGACCGACACACATGCGCAGCCATTACCATCCGACTAGAGACTTGTTCTGGCATTTCCTCCTAAAATATGGAAGTACAGGTAGAAACATAAAGGAAATTACACAGAAAAAAAAACCAAAATATCATCAAAACGTTACTTTTATCACCGTATTACTAATATACAAAAACACTATTGTGTAAATAATGGATAAACACTTGTTTGTGAGAACATAATATGCTGGGCTATGTGTACCATGCATGCATCAAAATGTGCATCATATAGGCGGATATTTAATGAAAGACTGTATGAAAAAAAAACACTTCACCAAGCAAAATGTGTTGGAACCCAACAGTATCTCTATAAACAATGACATTTCTTCATTTAATTCCTTTGAGTTCCAAGTGGAAAACGGGACTTCAAGAGCGAGCTTTGAAGTTTTAGTATCAATGACGTTTTTTTACAGGGTGAGATGGCGAGCATCACGCCCGACATTTCCTTTTACCGGGTTAACTAAAGGTTGAGCAAAGTCTAGAAGTGCGTCAACCGGGAATCGAACCCCCCGGGGCCACGTGCTTGGTAGGAAATTATTCTACCATTGAATCACTAAACCAAAGGTTTATGCTATAAAAAAGAAAAAATCATTGTCTGTAAAATTTCGTGTAATAAAACACTAAAACTAATCTATGTGATATTCTTATCGTAGTATTATATAGAGGTATTACTGTTGTAGATAATAATTCAGAATAATGAAATGACTCCCGATAAAGGGTGAATAATGATATACGAAAATGTTTTATTTGCAAAACAAAAACTGTTAGTATGTGTAATAAAAGAATGGAAAAGTAACTCCCTTGAAAGACTACATTAGCAGCTTCAATTCTAAGTATCGTCAATCGACACTCCTAGTCATTTATTGGAAAGTTCAAATTTATTCAATCATTGAATTACGCGATGTACACATTAGATGATTATAGCAAAGAATAAAAAGACGATTGTAGTGAATTATATTTTCCTTTCAACGAAGTCATCAACTAGATCGCACAATTGTGAATGTATGGCACAGTTCGAACTATGCTTCTCAACTAAATCTCCGGTTTATTTTTGTTATTATTGAGTTTTCAATCCTTATTTGCGAATTTGTTATTCGTTATAATTTGACTCTCGACAAGAAAAACACGAATGTATATTCTAGTTGATGATTTCGTCGAAGAGAGCAATTTTCTTCGCTGCAACTGTCTTTCAATTTTGTCCTATTCAAACTTTGGGAATTTTTTCTCTCGATGAAGCGAATAAATGAAGTGTCACAATACGAAACAACTGTAAAGTTGCTCCCCTATCTTTATTGGTCCTCTTACTGATGTTAATTTCTGACGAATTTCACCTTGAAATCAATCAAAATTAACACGAACACAAAACTTAACATTTGTGAAGAGTCTGAGGATTGAAATTGCATGTAGAGAAGCTGACAGAATTAGAAGCCAAAGTATATTAAATGTAGCTTATATAACCTAGATATATACTAAAAACAGAACAAAAGAGATAGATAAAAAAATGCGGCTCGAGTAAATTTAAAAACACCAGAGGAAAACCTACTAAACACAGATTGCAAGTAACTAATTCTGTATTGGGGGCAGCTGAAGTACCTCCCGGTGTTGGAGATAATCCATCAAGTATAAACGCTGCTCGACCAAGCAGTCTTTTTGGTCCCAATGCACATTGCTGAACTGAACTTGCTTCGACAGGATCAGTTTGCATAGCTTGCTTATTACCATTAACATTTAGTTCAGGGTCATCGGTGTCCATTAATTGACTCTATAAAAGAAATAAATAGAACACATTCCCATACTAATGAGAGAGGAAAAGGGGCGAAAATTTAAAAGCACAAAGACGCCTGACACCAGACACTTCGACATGGAAACACTATTCATCTACGTGTCACATTGTGGTACTCTTGTAATCCCTGATGTTATTTTATGCAAACTCTTGTAGTGTATTTATAACTACAAAGTTTAATAATCTCTCTCTCGTTCTAACACTACACCCACCATTTTGTACAGAAAAGTTGTATCGTAGTAGTAAAATGTAAAGCGAGTCCATGTTGAGGCAGTCCGTTCTAACCATTTAAAAAAATCTAATTACCAAATATCTTATCATTGCAAATTCTCTTCCAATACTGGCTTTAGGCAATTCCTACAAATAATTATCCCTTCATTCTTATAATTAAATACACTCATTTGAATCAACGTATTACTGTATACGAAATATAAGGACAAAAAAAAGAAGTTCACAACTACTCAAACAACTATATAACTACAACAACAATGAATATAACCTACTTCATTTGCTGCTGTTTCATTCTGAGATAATGAATTCATAAAATTTTTTTGCATATTCGACATACGCGCCATAATACGTGAACGTCGAGCCCGAGCCTTTTCTGCACGATCTTGTTTAATAGCTGTATTACACAGCTGATAAGGTGAAGGCTTCTAAATACACATTAAACAGATTAATTTTTCTAATTAGCACTCATATCAGCAATGTGTATAAAAAATATGAAAATGTTCGAATTTCTAATAAGACCTTAATAGAAACAAAACAAAACAAAAGGTTAGTTAATGAGTGCTAGAAAAATTATATTAATTAGGATTGGATGAGAATGTTTAAATACTGGGAAAGCCTTTCACAGTAACGTTACATGTTATTGAAAATCTTATTCTATTGATACTGATGGCATAATAATCAGTGTTACACATCTACACTTCCAGTTATATCTACTGTAAACTAATTAGGTATCCGTATAACATCAACCAATTAGGCCTCAGTTATTTGAAAACGTGATTAAGGTGCATCCTTTGAATTTTGGCCAATAGCTCTCAGTTTAAATACTCTTCCATTGACTTTAGACTTGTCTGTAGAGAAGTGTCATCAGCTGTCACACATAACAAACGTAGTTTATTGATATAAGAATAAAACTTGGGCACTGTGGTAGAATGTAATTCCATTATGGGTAAATTTTTATTTTGATAGAGTCTCACAGTGTTATACAGTAACCCATAATGGAAACGTAGTTTATATAGGCTGGTACATGAGAAGTCTGCCCCGGGTGAAAGAGTTCTTATCGCCTGAGAAAGCAATGTGATATTAGCTTATATATTGGCTATAAAAAAAAGTCAATACTTGGTTTGATTAAATGACAGAAGATTATTAAACCATCTAAAACGATGAATAGTCTAAAACTATCAAAGTAATCTAATGCAACACTTATAAAGACAAAATAAATAACATAACGAAAAAGATATAATACGATGTACAGTGAACCACCATTAGATACAAAATAATGGAAAGCGGTGGGAGTAATGAGAACTGGAAAGCTCTTTTAGGGAAAAAATGCACTAGAAGTGCTGTAAATTGACTCTGAAAGATGTCATTAGTGATTCTTAATATTATGTGAGTGTTTCAATCATGGAAGTTATATTTATATGGACACTTCATGAAATCAAAAGACATAACGTAAATAACATACATTTGTTGTTTCTGATGCAGTTTGGTCACCAGTAGCATTTTCAACAACTTTACTCCAATGGTTCAGAGTCCATCTGCAAAAGACATAACGTAGATTCGAAAATATGAACGGTTAAAAGTTGATAAACTAACATTGATTATAATTTAATAAACTCATTTCAATATCTCCCTTATTTCTTATATTTATGATTAATTACTGAGCATATTGATAATAAAGATAGCCTAAATTTCAACTGCTAAAAAAATCCCTTTTCTATCGACCTTTCACCCTTTATCAACTATGGATTACATGATTTTTAGAAAGTAGCCGTGTACATCATCATCATCAATAAACAGCTGATAGGAATACAGTGAAACACCATTGTAGATCTATTATACTGCAAGACACCATATACTACTAATTGATGTGAGCGGTGTGTGTGTGTGTGTGCTCACCCGCTATATTGAAGGGATTCTAAACACTGTTACACCATTTTGCTCGTCAGTGATATTTCCGGTTATAGTCAGTTTGGAAGGCTGAATCACTTTACTCAAAATGAATTCTGTCTAACTTACTTCCGCAAACTAATGACATTTAACAATTTATATCATTCAGAAGTAGTAGATTCTACCTCACAGATTTCTCTTATGACATTTACTATGGCGTCACATATGTCACAGGATGTAATTTGAATATTTTGGGTTCTCAAGAGAAATTCCGGGGAAATATCATCTCTAACAGTTTAATTCGCATATTTGTGCGCTACCTAAAACGTGTTCTCTTGTTTATTGTTTGTTGATTAGAAAGCTTGAGGAGAATCACATGAAATTGTAACATCCTCTAAGCACCGACTGAGGACCAAACAGTACTGAGAAGACTTTTTATTTTATTAAAACACAAAGCTGGTACATGCGCCACACACACAATCACATAGTTTGTGCGAGGGCTGAAACATTGACAGGATGCTGACACAGAAGTAAGTGGTTGTCTTTAAGGGGTCAGTCCCCAAGCTTGTGACTTGAAGTCCGACACACAAGACACTGAAGCATCGTAAGAAGTTGTTTCTATGGTTGGGTGACCAAATCAGGTTCACATACCATTCGGTTCTTTAGGATTCTGGTGTCATTAGGTTTTGAATCAGGGTTTTCCAGCTCTCCTGCATATCCACCAGTCCGGTTGTAAGCGCCAGACGTTCACATTCACTCTTTCACTTTTATGAGGAATAACTCCACAACATGAAAACAGAGAATACGTGTTACCTGACAGAGGCTATGAATGCGTTGGCACATAAAGACATTTCAAGCGGAAGACCGAAGTTTACCCACCCTCTAACGTAACAAGTCGTTTGCGGTGACAAAGTATACTAGAATATTAATAAACTTACAAGTAACACGATAACGTTCACTTCAGACGAAAAAATTCTGATAGACATTTCAATGTGACAACCCTTCTGAATGAACGCAAAGTACTAAGGATTAACATCACGAAAACTGTTAACCTTATTTCACCGAACTGCTAGACGAGGTTTAAGGCTGAAGACAGACTACTGTCACTTGTTAACTTGTTTTGTTACAAATTACGAAAACTTGAACTGTGGGACTCAGAGCTACAACTAACTCAGGAATAAATGGCCTTATATAGTAAAGAATACAGATTTAACAACAGAGAAATTGACTCACCTTATCAAATCTGATTGATCATCGTGACAAGAGGAATTCAATATTCGCAACAGTCGGGAAGTTATACAATTACTGAAACAGAAACAGATATTTGTAAGAATGTTGTGGAAAGAAAAAGCTCCAATCTTGATGGCAATATAGGTCACTTCGATAGCAGCTGGCATGTCGAACCTCGAATATCAAAGTAGCAGATAAATTCTATTTACTGGTGCCAGCCAACTAGCCTGAAATCTAAGAAGATGGTTTCCTGCCGATTTACTCCTGTTAATATCTAACATCAAGACAAAATGTGAACGAATGTGTACGGCAGCGAAGTATCATACAGCTGGCGGACTAAATCGGACAAACATCACAGAGACCTTTCAATCACTGCACTTAGAACTTGATAACTACATTGATTATTATCAGTCAGTATGCATACCCAATCCATTCCTACAAGGAGTTAACTTCCTTCTACAGAATCTAGTGGTAAGTCACTGCTTTTAGAAGTAGAGGAAACTCATTGGTATTAAATATACAATTCGGTATTTTATTATTCATAACAATAATGAACAATATAAATTCGTAATGCAGTGTAATCTCATGTATTACTCTATCGGCCAGACTTGATGTGTGAGGACTCATGATACTAGCCAGTTGGTTATCAACCAATGAAAGCGAGTTGAGATCCAAACATGGGATAGATCGAAAAAGTAGGTATGCCCATAGGCGCCCTGTAAATGTGAATACTATCACTGTCAGAAAGATTGTGACAATAGACCATGTGGACAGGAAGAACAGACACGCTAGTTGCAGCAAAAGGGTTTAAATGAAGTTATAGATATTACGCATAAACTTTTAAATATATTTCTGCCTGGACCAATACCTACTACAATTTATCCTACTGAATTGTGACTTTTCGGCACTTGATGCATGAATTACCGGTGGCCTTGAAGATAAGCAGAAATAAAAAGAATAATTTCCAAATCACTTTTAAGAAATATTTTGCAAAACGCATTGAACTGAAGTGATCTACTTCCGTTGGAATATGCCATATTCGACTGTGTTCTTTGATATTACTCTCAGTCGTATTTTGATGCTGAAGATGCGTGGGTAGTGAACAACAAGGCGCATGTATTTCCTTCTTTAAAATATACCACCTGGAAGTGAATGATGGCACCACCTTGATTTCAGCATTCATTCCAAAACTGTAGTTACGCAAGCTATCTGTTGAGCAACAAGCATAACTTGTTGTTAGTGGATGATACAGCATGTTAATGATTTTACTTCACTAAACAAACATCGATCAATTTAACTTTTTTTTAGATCAATAAGTTAGTGTATTATTACAGTATTACTTACTATATTAGGCCCTCTTATTAAGAACTACTTTACAATAGACGTGAGAAACTATTTAAATAATCGAAGAAAAGTAAACATACTCATACGTGATTAATGCATGAAAAACAAACTTACTCTTCTAAAGCAGCAGAGATTTTCAAATGATCATTTGGAGATGGTTTCAACCAATGACGCGAAAGTGCTAATTGCCTCAATTTAATATCTGATTCACTTTCTACTGGTACACGTGCAACAGCTTCCAAGAAAGGATATTTGCCTGTTTTACTGGAAGAATACAGAAAAGAGTACATCTATAGAAAAGTAATAGTTTATTTCGTACTGCTCAATCGATAAGAATAGGACAAATTCTCACTGTTTATCAGTAACATAACAACTAATTATCAATACTTATGTAATGATTATTTGATTTAATTAATCTCTTCAAAGACTATTTACCGAAAACACTAGTATTTTGGGCATCTTGTTAAAAAACAAACAACTGATTACACTTTTTTTCTAATTTCTATAATTATCCTGTCATAAAAAAATAAGCTACCGCAACTTAATATACATGAATACTTTCTTCCGATTTCATCCAGTTAGTATCATGAATAACTAAACACTTATGAGTTAATACACAAAGTTGAATTATTTTCGATGAAATTTGTAAAGCATACTTATGTTGGTAGGAATAAATGGAACAAGACGGTAGATTTAAGATTTTTAATAAATCTAAATGCCTCTAGCAGACGGATATTTACGGGTAAAAAAAGATTAACTGTTTAGAAATGCGTCAATTACTCTATGTAAAATTTTAAGATCAAGTATGTTCTTATGAAGTAAATCTGATAAGAGGATATTTAAGGTTCCTCAAAGGATACAGACACCAAAGTTAACTTACCTTCCTTCCAATTCATCTTCATATAACGCAACAATGATCAAATGCAACACGAGATCTAGTAAACTGTGTGACCACCATGAAGACGCTGTACCATGAGAATTAGCTATTTCCAATAGTGTTTTGATTAAACGTACAAAAGTAACACAGCGAAGAAGTCTCAGAGGACCTGGGTGAATAGATGGTATAAAGCCATGTAAAGGACGAGGTGGGGGTGGTGGGATAGGAAAGTTCTTTAAATCTGGATTGTCCTGTTTTTGTATCCACTTCTTTAAACATTTAGAAACATTTTCTTCAGCCTAAAAAAATAGTTTCAGAAAGTGATATGAATATGGTAATTGTCATTACAATAGTATAAACCTGTCTAAAATGACAAACATTAATTGTTTAATAAAGTTCAAAGCGTACTTGAATAGAATACAATACTCCTAGTCAGTGAATATTTATCTTTAGTGAGACTTCCCATCTACTTGAGTGCATAAGGAAATAATTAATTCATGAGTAATCTCCATCCTAGCATTAATAAAAACAAAACAAGCAGCAACAGAACTGAGGCAACGAAATTAGATACGTTTTTTCGGCTGACAAGTATCTAATTCCTTAAATATATACGCGTAACTATTTAGTTTAGTGAAGCTAGACAAAAATTCATCAAAAAACTGCTTGAGGAAACATTCCAGTACAAAATAACAACAATGCAGATAACTGACCAAACCCACACACTTGAGCATGCGTCAATAAATTTCAGAATACCAGAACCGAAGAATGAATGCTTTCCCCCAGTTAGTTTCTCGTACGCCCCATTTAATCACTAATAGGACTAGGATTCCTAACACCTTGGATACCATATTAGCCAAGCGAACTCTCTTGAAGCATTTGTTGTCTTTCTCATACATTCGAATAAACAAGAATTGATACTAATCTAATGAGACTACAAAGGATTCCTTTAACGTCAGTTAACCTGACCAACAAACCATTAGCAACATTCTTAAACGATTCAGGAATGGAACTATAATGTCCTCATGTTCTGCGTTGTTTATTACAAGAAACAAGCTTTGAGAGCTAGGTTACAGCTGGACGACAGTTGTCGGACTATCACGCAGGTTGAGTCTGAATGTTGATCTACTGTAGTGCATGTTAAGCCTCTAGAACTACCTATGTCCCTGTAATCTTGCCTGAGATGATTGACAGATAGATGACTTCTAATTCAAAATGTAGTGGGGAAATTCATCTATATCAATCCCTAAAATCTGCATTTAAACCAGTGTCTTGAAATTTTATCTTTCGAAGGGTAAAAGTTGATTAGTTTTTTTATATATCAATCTATAAGCCAATCCTATATTTCATGCGAACTAATAATACTACGTTATCCACAATGAAGTAGGACGGAAAATGTCTGAACCCATTACCTATTGGCTAAAAAAAGTCCAGTGCTTAAGCCAATGAACCACATTTCCTGAGGGTAAAAAGTTTATATTTTATTTCTGTCATTGAGTTAACTAGATGTGTCAACCTGAACTGAGTATATAAATAAAACAAGAAGTATGTTACACTTCTGTAATCAAGGTTCCAGAGAACCTCTTATTAATGTATAGAAAACTCAAAAAAGTTAAGATGAATAGATTGGATAACTTATCGACTGTACAATAAGTGAAGCACACTTACTGTTGTTTGGTCCGGTTGTCGATATCCCCAATAGAATCGATCAAAACGATAAGCCAAAACTTCTGGTCGCAGACTAAACACAGTGCGACCATTAACAGATGATTGAACCGCTACTTTACTTAATATTTTAGTTAAAGCGGTTTCCATAGCACGTTTATTAGCACTTCTAGATACAGAAGCAGGTAGAACAGGTCTTGGGCCAATCTCAATAGAAGCTGATGTTGTAGACTGCGATTCTTCTGATGTCATTTCTGTGTCAGAGTCTTTTAAATTATGTTGTTGCTTCAACACATCCAACTGTCCAATATTAATTTTCATTAACAGACTGCTTGTAGCTTGATATGGTAAGTTAGATAATAATTCACTATAGCTTAGAGTTTGATAGCCTAGAGCATGTATAACATCACTGATTAAGTTAGGATAATAAACTTCTGAATTGATATCAAGAACTATATCATTTAGGTAATTAGAGGAACCATTACTACGATTATTGTTGCAAAAATAATATTCCTTGGTAAATTGACCAATAGAAGGACGTGATCGATTAGTAATACAAGCAAGTAAAACACGTAACAACATTTCAACTGCTTGTACACGACCAGATCCAGGCTCCTTTGTTGGCGCATCGCTAAATTGGTGTTTTTTAAATAAACAAAAAGGCGGATGAAAACAAATTTATCAGTAACAGTAGAATATTTAAGGTTTAAACAATGTAGTTACTTGTGAGTAGTTCAACATTTAATCAAAAACAATTATTACAGTGAAGCAGCATCACTTGCGCTATGTAGCGTGGTATATATATATATATATATATATATATATATATATATATATATATATACATATATTGGCTGTATGGCATTATAGGCTTTTTTATCAGCTAGTTTATGAGATGCTCGGGTTGATTGATTAAAAAGTCAACGTGGAATTGTGAGCAGAAAAGAATTAATTCAAGTTATTAAACATTCAAATAGTAAAATTAAAAAAAACAGGGGATTAGGAATTTCAAACAGGATAAAGGAATGAAAATATTTGAACCATTGAGAACTACTTAAAGTCAGAACCAATGATTACAATGATTCTGAAGATTTTGACCAAAATTGAGGGATTTGTGTACTAATGGAAAAGAATAGATGGCTGATGCTTTCAGACAGTCTGTTCACAACAGAAATATACACCATGCACACACATACAAAATGAAAATCTAACGAACCTTTTCAAGTAGTTAACCAAATGAAATTTATGTACTAAACGGATGATAAATTCATCCGGCGGTAGAACACAACTCGCTATTTGCAATAACTGAATATCACGGTCTACTAATTCCACACGCAGCGGAGAACTGAACAGATTTGTGACCTGTAAGAATTAAAATAATAATAATAATATGGATTTTAATTTGTCAATAAAAGAGGATTACAAACAAAGTATATTAATATTAGCCAGTCATTCAATTGTACAAAGTTGTTTAGACATGAGTTATTGACTGTGCCACCAAAATTAAACCATACTGCATCCGCCAACACATGTACCTTACATAGTATAATGGAACCAATAAGCTGGTACTCGATGGTCAAGTTTCAAAAATCTATCAGCTTGAATGTGTAATGAAAGTAAATGTGGTCTCAGAATTTTTGTTGCTGTACTTTCACTTATGTTTACCTTACATAGATCAGCTTTATATACCAAACGGAATAATTTAATATTACTTATCAAGAGTAAAACGACCCAGAGAGAAATGTGCCACCTATGAGGAAGATTGATCTAGCAGTACACAAGTGAAAATTTAAAAGTGAATAATTTGCCTATAAAATTTGTAAAATTTGAACAAAATGGGAGTAAAGACGGCCTCCTGGTATTTTGTGACCTCGAGAAAAAATTTAGCATGAGAAAAACAAACTGAAACCACTGTTACAGTTCACATATATGCATTCACCAATATAAGGGGAAATCAATTAATAACAATGCCACATAATAAATAAAGCATATTCATACTAGTGAGGAATACAGTATTTCAGTAGTGTTAATCGCAACAAACAAACATTATAATAGCATACCAATCAACCTAACCTACTCCGTCATGATTGTCACGTGACTAATCGTTGTCTTAATATACACTCGCATCATTCAGGAGTGACCTTGTATCACTGTTGTTGTAGAGATTCGAATGAAGCTAAGAAACAGAATGTTGAACTGGAAGAAACGCAGTAAACAATGTCCTAAGTTTCCTGAATAGTGATTTCATCAACCTAAATAAGATAAATAATATATGCCCTCTTTACACATGTACATACGCACACACCTACTACAACTACTACTAGAAGGCCAGAATGACATTTACATTGAATATGTATCAAATTGAGTAGTTTTACACATACAAGAAACGTGTTTTTAACACTAATTTTTCAAAATATTCAATGAACTTATAAAGACGTAATAAGTAATTAGGTTATAAAGTATTATTATGGAGATAATATGTTGAAATAGTATCACGATCAATTGAAACATTTGTGTTATTAACGAGTGGAATAGATAAGACTAGACCAGACAATAAATAAGGAATAAATTGGTGTGCGTTTACTTACGGACTGTTGTGCAGCGTATCCATTACGTACCCACATTTTAGCGTTATACTGAGCACAAAAAGCAAGAATTTGTAAAGGTCTTTCGATAAGCAGATTTAGAAACGCCTACAAATAGTGTGAATGGGAAAATAACAATAGCAATAAGCATGAATTTATTAAATGTAGCAAAGTCAATATATGTATTAATTTGTAACACCACAAACAAAAAACGGCTACATGATTAAATATGACCTGGGAATAAAAATCTTCAGTTCACATAAAGCAGGAATAATGCACATTAATAACTATGTTCACGTTTAGTGTACTAAGCTATAAACACTTAAGCTAAAAATACTTAAAATACTGCTCTGCTACTTTTTTTATTCCTTTATGCTCCCAGTGGAAAATAGGGCTTCAGGCTTGGAGTTTTGGTAGCAGTGGAGTTTATTTTTACAAGATGGGGATGCTAACCTCATGCCCAACGTTTTCTCTTTACCAGTCTTATTACCGGCTTAGTGAGGTAAACGAGTGGGTCAACCGGGAGATCGAACCCCGGACCACCTGTGTGGTTGGCGAACATTCTACTTCTGTGCCACCGACGCACCTCTGCTACTGCTATTACTACCAAAATGGTTCAAACCTCGATCCATGAAAGAGATTTAAAGTTGAATCGTAATTTCACAGAATATTGTTATTCGACATAAACAATCTGGGATCTGAAAACACGAAAATTCGATTTGTATCACATAATATTTCTTATTGATTTAGGCATTTGTCTTACATTTCGTAGATCGCATATTCGAAATAGGATCCCCCTATCAAGATATGAACAGTCAGAAAGTAACGTATCAACCAACATTGACAAAGGACCTGGAACTTAGTACAAATAGTATCAAAATGCACATAGTTCTAAGAATGTATTATTCTCCCTCTTGGAGACCCACCACAAATTTATGCAATGAAAGATAGATACCAACTGAGATGCGGAGGTATTTTATACTAACAAGTTCCCCGCGCTTAAATAAATGCAACAGGACTGCAATTAGGATATCATTACTACATAGTGTCTGTAAGTCACTGAAAAAGGTATCCGTAACAAACTATAAACGAATTATATTTACAATAAATTATCTAACATATAGTAGTAGAAGCATAGGCGACATCTTAACATCGAATAATTATCATAATACGTCGATATATATATATATATTTTAGAGGGGAGAGATAGAGTTATACCTTATCTGATAAACCCAATTCATCGAAAGTGAAACCCATTTCCAAACCATGTCCATATAGGCTGGCCAACAATCGTGGAATTGGCTGTAGTGAACTTATCCGATACACTGATACATCGTAAATATATACTTCAGTTGTGACACCAAGTGAATGAAAAGTCAGTTTATTAGAATTATCATTTGACTGGGTATTCTTGTTATTCTCTGGTTTCTCATCTATAGATAATAGCGATCTAATACGGAATCGTCGATCCAATATACCAATACGCGTTTCAAATGCCTGTTAATACATGGAGTACACGGGAGAGAAAAAAGGTCGAAATCGTTATGGAATATATATGATATGTACGACAAACTAACAACACATAATAATCAGTGGTGACAGCCAAGAGAATTTAAAAAGAAGACAACTATTCCTACTACTTAGATTCGACCACATCAACGCCGTATTCAACCTTATGATGTAGCTTATATTAAGCAAATTTCCACTCAATCAAATAAAGTCCGCTTAACCTAGTACTATTATCATTCAGCCTCATATATTTCGTGTGTCTAGTACATCCATACATGAAGAGACTGTACCAATTGACTGAGCTGTACATTTATTCGACTGAGTAGATTATGCCAAGACAACTAAAGTGTTTTTGCACTATCGAAGAACTGAAAAGTCCACTTGAGAAGAAAGACAACAGCCAGAATCACCTAGCGAACATAACTGATTGACACAAGTAATTTCTAACTGATAACTTTATACCATAACACTGGCGTCTTAACATATTGAAATCATTTCAAAAGATGAACATTTCCTCAAAAATCCATTTGATTCCAGACCGAATACACTTTGTTAATCTGGAAAATAAACCATCCGATAAACGTATAATAGCAACCACTCAGTAATCTACAAAAACCTTACTTTATCCATTATAATCATTCAAAACACAAATAGGGAGTAAAATGATACAGAGAAAATCTCAAAAAATGTCTTTTACAACAATATGAGCAGTGATCTCGTAGCATTTCATTTTATTTCAGCTCAACAGCTTAAAGACTTATTATTGTTTAATAATTACACATATTTTCAAAATAAATTGATAGTATCAGTGAAATAAGTAAACGAACTACATCATGGGTTCACCAGTTATATTGCTTTGTATGTACGAGTGGACAATCATAACGTTAAATGTGGAGTTCTAATAAAAGATGAGTGAATCAACGACACTATATGTATCTGAAGCGTGTGTAAACACATAGTCAGTACTTTCAGTCACGGATGTGTTATTTCAAAATTGATAATTATTGACTATATTCCCTTGGTAAACCGAAAAATAATACAAATGGTTAGCCTAAAGAAACAATTAAAAAAAACTAGTCCCTGGTGCATCACATCTAAAGCTTGCCACCTACAAACAGATTTGACTAGAATTCTAGAAATCTGACTGTTGATGTATACTGCATTTTGGGTACCTTAATAGAAAATACCATCGCATTATTTCCGCAATTATCAGTTCAAATACCATGTTTAATTTGTTTATCTAGGGACGTCGTAGCATCAATGTCCGGCTTAGTTGATGTGGGTGCCGCACTAAGCGCTAGAATTAAAGCTATATGACTCGATTGTGAAGCCAGAAGGTTATATTAGAGCAGATAAGTGCCATTTTGTCATTAATTCATAACATATTGAGGTCTGGATTCAACAAAAGATGGGGTGTAGCATCAAGTGAGTGAATTGGTCAAACAAGCACGATTGACAAATTTTGTAATACTAGTTAGGGACTTCGGTATAGGCTCACGAGTTTAGGTGGTCAGTGAGGACCAGACGATCACACGTCAGCTAAAGATTTGCGCCTCTTTTTTGTGAGTAATAATTTCCGAAATTATCATAGTGCTATAATGACGTGATCTCCAACTTAACATTCCAACCTACTAGCCAAGTATTACACCACTCTCTTCATAGCACGGTGCATTCTTGATAATAGGTGAGTATAGGTAGAGTCCGGTATTTAGAGGCAACATCTGGACAGTAATTCCTGTTACTTAATTGATATCCGTCCATAAAATTATTCAAATATTATATATATATATATATATATACATATATATATATATATATATTATATATATATATATATATATGTATATATATATATATGCGTACATATATATAATTTCAACTTACCTGACGAGCTTCACGTAATACCAGCTTGTACAGTTCATAATCTGAACTGGCTACCTGTACAGTTAAGCCAAGTAGACTTATTAACACACTCATAATATAAAACCCGGTGGCCCATTCCAACTCTTCTTCCACATGAGTTTGTATCTGACGTTGCATACCGTTCATATCCTGTACAATTATTATTATTATTATTATTATTATTATTATTATTATTATAATACGTAAATCCAACTTCAATAAATTTAATCGTAAAAAATTGTTTCAAGTAGAAAAGAAATACGTCAACAAAATCCAGGTAACTTAATAGTCATCAGAATTTTCCAGCAATCAATATTAAGTGACATTTAATGTATTCATTATGGCTGCGTGGTTTAATTAGTCGTTCATCAGCCAATGGATTTCGGGTTCGTTTCCTAATTTACCGTAGATCACTGGGTAGGATCATTAGCCCTCATACACTAAGTGTGGTTCATAGCATGGTGAATGGAAAAATCTGTTCCAATGGACTCAGTTCTGACTTGAAGGCTAAACATACAGTCTGATTTCTGTATTTGACAAACATAATTCGAAAGTCGACTGTCAAAAATGACCAATTCAACGGAACAAAACACAACGATACAATATATTCAAATACTTGAAAAGAAATATTAACGTGAAATCTTTCGTCATCGTGTTTGAGAAATTAAGCTATTCGGTTAAGGCATATAAAAGTATTTGTTTATCTAAGTATACCTTAAGACTGATCAGAGAATGAAATGACTTTCATAAAAAGAGAAAGTGGATTTTATGTGTAGTGTGTATAGACTCATTTGAAAAATAATGTTGAGTGCTGAGAGTATGAATTTAGTACACTACTAAATCAGGTCACTTTTTAATGTACACTTTCAATTAAGATGTTTATATACCCTGAAAGAATATTCACTGGTTTTTGGAAAAGAGAAGTTGACAAATGAAATTGAAGATGAATAAAATTTTTGTATTACTAACTCTTTAAAACTAACTTATGAACTCAATAACCACAAACAGATTTTCTATGTAGAGGCAGTGAACTATACCTATAGTGTGATGAGAGCTGTCTGCAAGCCAAAATTGTAGACAGCAATTTACGTCAATGTTCACGTCCCGAATCAGGGTCATGAGAAAAACAATAACAAAGCTTAACCTTGAGGAAACCACCAGCCAATCACAGCGGAGTTAAAGTGTGAAAATATAGTTCACAGAAATGTGGCTTGACTTTTAGAGAAAAGACCACAAAGAGATAACAGAATAACCTTCATAAAGAAAACAACCAATCAGAAGAGGTTGCTTCTCCGCTAACAATAACGCTAGTAATAATGCACACAGAAATCTACAATTACCTCTTGGTTTTCTCAATAAACGATCTGTTGCAGAGAAACAGAGTCTTCTGATTGGTTGTTTTCTCACTGGAAGTTATTCTGTCATCTCTTTGTTACTGTTGCTTTGAAGGTCAGATCATATATTTGCGAATTGTATCCGCCCACGCAAAGGCTGCTGTCATTGGTTGTTCAGTTAGTCTTTATTTTTGTTTTTTTCCTCATGACCAAGATTTGGGACGTAAACATAGACGTAAATTGCTGTCTATCGATTTTGGTTAGCAGGCAGCTCTCACCACAACTTCGCTCGTACTGATTCACAGCTTAAATAATTAGGTTTAAATTCTTGAACAGAAGAACATAATTTATTATTCTTTTGGGTTCCGAGTGGAACATAGGGCTTCTACAACACATCTCCACTTTGTTCTATTCTCTGCTGTCCTCTTCATCTGGTAGTAGCATTCCCTATAATGTCTCATCTCCTCCTCGCACAATCTCCTCCATATCACCCTAGGACGACCCAATGATCGTTTCCCATTGGGATTCCACTCAAGGACCTGGCGCGTGGTGGCTTCCTTAACGTATGCCCGATACAAAAGTACATAAAAGAATCGCAAAAAGATACCATACATATAACCCTCAGTTTTTGACTTTCACCCAGTGTTACACAAACACATACGTAACACTATAAATGTGATGCTGAGAGAACAACACACATGACCATGGAACAAATGGAAAAAAGATCGTTGAAATAGTTAATTTGAAAGAAATAGTACAAATAAAGAACCAGAGGAAAAGTGCTGCACATTAACTTACTTGTACAAAACTAAGCACTATTAAAAGTTTTCGTATATATTCAATGTAAGACAATCGTGCAGCTTCTGTCCACCAACTATTTCGTGTCGTTGTTGATGACGATGAAGTACTTTCGTTATTGGCTAACGGTCGGACATTTGTTAAACTGGCCAGAATATAATCAACATCATGAATTACACTGAATAATCTTTCAAAAGGATGAAAGAATGAACGACCTAGTGTGCTACCAGCTGGCCATGCTAAGACACGTGGTTGTGGGGAAACACAGTTAGGTGGATTACAGCTTAGAGACACAGTGCAAGTGGACACACCCCATTCAAATGGATTTAAACGTCTCAATAAGTCAAGAACAGCACTAAACCATGAAGTGTTTGCATCATTATTTAAATTTGAGACGGTTAGTTCTTCTTGAATATCTGCATTTACATTTTGATTGGTAGTTTCTGAATAAAAATCTGGTAGTATAATTGAATTATGCTCAAATGCGTTAACCAATCGAGATAGTAGTCGACTTAGGATACTTTTGCGCTCCAACAATTGACGTGCCTATAGTACATATAGGTGCAACAAATTATTATAATATTTAAAAGAATTAAAGGTATTACTGTAAATAATTTTCAGGTACAATAAACTGCCAAACTTGGTTTGTAGTAAGTTTTGAAATGATAACACAAGGATTTTAACACAAAATTATATACATTGATTTAAGTACTTCTGTGATAGGATGCTCGCCAGCCACATACAAGGTCCAGGATTCGATTCCCGACTGACGCACTCCGAAACTCATTTATCCTTTAGTGCGATAAAGACGTAAGGTCACGCGTGAGGCTAACAACCTCACCCACCAAAAACAAACGCCACTGATACTGGAACTTTAATACTCAAGCTTGAAGCCTTATGTCCCACTCGGGACGTAAAGGAATAAAATTTAAAAAATGAAAATAACAATGATATCCTTCTATTGATTATCCTTATCATAGACACATTGTAAAGAGATATGATCAAAAGTATCAAGGATACGTAGACTGGTCAAGAGTTTTAATAAAAGCTTTTCTCAATTATCAAATAGAACATTTCATGGATGGATGTCCCACCAAAGACAATAGTTGGGGTCGCGCTACAATCACGAATTGGTAGAAGTTAGAATTCATGAGCCATTGAATCGGGTCCCAGTGGCTGAATGGTATACGAGCTTGCCTTGTAACCGGAAGGTCCTGGGTTCGAATCCCAGTGGGTGCGTACTGCCGATGATTCCCAAACTAGGATGAAACAGCAGCTGTCCAGTACTCCCTGGTTTTCAATGGTTCTCTAACTGATATCAGTCCGTGATCAACTCATAGAACATTTCACTAACAATTTGATTCACTGAAGATTACTATCAACCGTAGAATGAAACCTGAATTGCCTAAAAAGGCATACATTTTCATTCTATCCCCTAACTATTACCTCTTTTTTGTTTTCATTATAAACGTCTCTAGAAACTCAGTGTATATCTTCTGGTAGATTATTACTAATCACTGTTCTTAATGATAAATTCTCAGACCCATGAATATCTATCCACTTCTGCTTATATCTGATTTTATCGTGAAAATTCGAGAATACTCCACTTCCTACCTTGGAAGGTATTTTGCTTTTGTAGGTAATTGTCTAAATTCTAACTACATTTTGTATTACAGGACACTGGCTTTTTCTAAACTCAATAGAGAAAACTAAATAGTTTCATACATAGCTTGGAAGTGATTTGAAATTATTTAAGTGAGTTAAGATCAGTGGGTTAAAAGATGACTCATTTTAAATCACTTATAGAGATGATGTCATGTCTACTACTTTAATTTTTTCCCTGTATTTTGTTACTTGATTAGTGTAAGTTGTAAGCTATTTATGAATACTAATCAAATCGTCTTACAAATTTAAAAATAAATAATCAGTTTTTTTTCGTGTCAGTTGTAATGATCATACAGACATTTTAATAATTGCTGTTTTCTTAATTAACGACCTTCATGTCTAGTTTTAGGTGAATAGAACTCATAAAATATATTTTCTTATTTTATTAATCTTATGTATAATTCTATCATATTTTAATTTGATAAAAAAAAACATCATTTAATGTTAAGGTTTCAAGAACAATTTATTGTTCATGACCATATATATCTAGGCAGGAGATGAATAGGGAGAATTAGCTGTTACATTGTAATATAAAACGAACAGGAAAAGTTCAACAATGAATTATCAAATACATTATAAATATATTTCAATTGGAATTAAAAAACAATTCCAGTAGCTGGTGTGATCCACGGGCAGTAATTTTGATCGAAATGTTACCAAAACAAGGAACTTATCATTATGTGTAAACTACTGAAATATAATTACAATTTATTTGATCGATTCCATTATGCTGAAACTTTTTTACTGGCATTAATGCATTGGCATTTATAAAAAGACAATGCACTCCAATACATACTTAAACTTTAAATTGTCTGTAACAGCAAGCTTAGTTAAGTGTATAACAGGCAGAGGGCGAAAACTCTAAGAAGTACATTAGCAAACCTAAATAGATAGAAGTGTTAGTGCTAGCTAGCTATTCAATAAATTCTTTAGGTAGATCAGAGAAAGCTGACAATAAGAGGGGAAAAGTAGTGAAACTATTGCTCAGATAAATACTGTCTTCAGGTTAAGATAATACGGCTAGTCGTGAGTCCGAATAGCCCGGTAGTAACCTCCCTGACTGCAGCACTGGATGACGCAGATTAGAATGTCAGAAATGCCCCTACAAGGATGCAGATACACCTTGCTGCTAATAAGCACAAAACCTAGGTCCAGGACTGTCTTCATATACTACGCCAGCATCGTAAATACTACATTATTCCAACTGATTCCTGTGATTGTCATAGAATTACTAACTGCAACGATCGACAATACACTGCAGATTGTGACTGGTTCATGTATTATGCAAGCTTCAAACTGCACAATTCAGTGATGAAGCACAACTAGATATGATTCGTATATCACATTCACAGCTTCTTTTAGCTAGCACATATCCCCAATATTGACCATTCTTCAGTTGGATATAGTACAGCAACGCTATTGAAAGGTCAATGTAATCAAACAGACGGATTCATCTTTTGACTTTGATTAAGTTTTGAATATTTTTAAACAGGCATGTCATTTTCTCCCCTTTTCTATTTCTGCACTGTTGAAAAGGAGGATAGATAGGAGCAAAACACTGTTGTGGCAGTTACCGCAGTATCCTGTCTATGACGGTTAATTCGCTAGCCAAAGATATTCTCTACAAAATGTTTAAAAACTCGCCAGTACAAGTAGATTATAGAGGTAATCAAAGGGATATACCTATTAAAACACAATCTATGATATGACCTATCGGTTTATGGCGAAAGCAAGTACAGGTTCACGGGGAATTAAAATATAAGAAATAGAACTTACCAAACTGGTCACTGTATAGAATTGACAACTTAAACTGCACAGATTATCACCTTCTAAATGATCATCGTACATATAATTTTGAAGTAACATAGGATACAACTGCATTACAAGAGTAAAGAAAAAAACAGAAGAAAATATTTGCAATGATAATAATAATATTATGAAAGTGAACAGAAGTAAATAATACTGCAGTCGTAATTCAAATAACAGACAATAAGAGGAATGAAGGAAATTTAAGTAAATCAGGTATTTTATGACACACTTATGTGTCATCGCCATACAACGAGAGTAATCAAATTGAGGTTATATAAATGCTGTAGTTAGCTTTACATAAACAATAATAGAAATGATGATAACTTAACCAAGAAAACAAGTATACCTTCGTTAGTAAACAAAAAGTCGTAGATGCCGACTGAAGGAGTTACCTACATTACCCTAGATATTGTGCCTTATAGCCTAATACATGAAATCGCAAACGTGTTATTGATTCGCTAACACATGAGAGCTGGTGGCAGTTGAGAATTTCATGAATCACATTCAGACTATTGAAGCACTATCCTTCCCATAAACCAGTGAGTAACGACGTTGTTTATAAAATTATTGGTGACACTAAAACTGAACTTAGGTCAAAACAAAACTAGTTAAGACGGTTCATCGAGTGTAAGTTCGTAGCACTCAGCCAAATGCGTTATGAAATCCAGCTATAAATCAGGTTTTCATTTATCAAGGGGTTTGCCTACCCATCAATCGAATCAATATTGTATAACTACCCTACTAGTATTATCAAACTACCATAATTATATGTAGTTTCCTGACAAATTCAGTCACTAGTAACCAGCAGTCAAATGATAACAAACAACAATATAAAAAATGTGACTGTTCTTTGAATTGTTTACTGCAGTTACAACACATAGACATATAAAAACAGCTAATGCAAGAATTCATATCAAGTTCACATGTTTACATATAATATAGCTAATAAATAACTACAGATAACAAGGTTAAAATAAAGTAGAAATCAAAGATTAGTGAACATCTTGAAAATTACTGCGAATATCAACTGATATGTACATTAAAACAAATACTTTATCTTGTTATAGTAGAAGGAAAAACAACATCACATGCGAGAAAAAATGTTTTGTTGACATTAATTTTCCTATTTATCAACGTCAGCAAACAAAAAAAGCAAATGCAAGACAAAGTAGAGTGAAATCTCGGCACAAGTTGCTACACTTTCCATTAGGAGACAAAAATAAGAGAATGGGAATAAAATGAGTGTCAGGCAAGGAATTAAGAGCCTGTTAGCCTTCTGAAAACCTTAGTCAGGTAAGCAGTACCTCACAGAGTGCTTCATATCAACAACCAATAACATCGAGGAGTGAAGCCATATTCTGACCATCACTAACTCCTTTCAAACATAACCCTGTTCATCGAGAAAGGTAGTGGCTAAGCATGCCCAAAGTATATTCCAATAACCGCCAGCCAATGACTCACAACGTCCATGATTGATTATCTTCGTAATCTACGACGTCTAACCTCAACATGAAACACACGCAACGTGAACATTTGGACGAAGATACTTATGAGAAAATATCCTGTTTTGAAAATTTATATATATATATATATATATATAGCTTATTAGTAAATTCCCTAGAAAGTTTCTTCACTGAATCACTTGCTTTCTTCCTAAACATGTCCTAACTTTCCATGAAAAAACCTATAATCCTTCCGTATCCTCTACTTTCATCGATTATATCTCACAATCTTACAGTAGGAGAAAGAAGACTGTTGGCAGTGCACTTTTCCTTTAATAGATAACTGGATACATAAGTTGACGAACGACTGTATTTGTAGCCATTTTGTCTTTGCAAAACTCATATTCACATAGGAGAAATAAATTTTCTCATAGAAAGCAGTTATCAACTTGATTAACAGTGTAAGACCTCAATGCAACAATGAAGGTGTAACTTTATCAAAAGGAATGATAGTGAAAGTAACCTCGATGACTAAATACGTCTATAGCAAGCTTAGTAGTATAGAGTTGTATACATGCTAGTATGAACTTAAATCAAAACATTTAATGGTAAACTGAGTGAAAAGTGATATCTCCACGATGTGATAATATGCCATAAGGACGACGTATGCAACACGTAAATCTTAAACATACAAAAACAATAAACAACTAATAAGTATAAAATCTTACTCTGGTAAATTTAATGGCAAACGCAGATCGGTAGAAATTATCCTTCAAGAGTACACCCATGATAAGACGTAACATTTCTTGTCGAACAGCTGAAAGTTTTAAAAATAATAATAATAATAACAATATAAATGAGATAAAATGTTTTAATTGTTTCATTTATATGATTATATTTAATGAGTGAGAATATGGATTTAAATTCGGGTTTCGTATTAGTGAGATGTGGATAGTCTAGTAGTTACATAACTACACAGACAATATGATAATATAGCCCGGAATTAATGATTAACGTAGTGGAGTTGCTTGAAGTTGTCTGTGCATTACAATGTAAGATAAAACAGAAATCATAAAGAGATAAACACATTTTAACAGATCTTAAAAGAGGACATACAAATATAGGAGGATACTTTAGATGGTAATATAGATGTATTTGAGTGATCCCAAACTATTACTGTAAATCTCCAATCTGTTACCGACGTCATTTCACGCAGTCTAGTTAACACTTCAGTATGTCAGTAACATTAAAAGTTTGAGACTTCAAATATAAGTGTTCTGTTTAGACACAACAAACTTCAACTATTACTTAACATCACCCCAAACACCCATAGGTGATGTTTGCTAAATTCCTACAACTTTCATGAATCGTCCCTCTTCAATAGTTACAAAATATAGAGGAAGTATTATTACTGCCTTTTCACAGTTAACTAGTTTACGATGTACTATCTCTTTGATAGCAACAAAACACAGATATTATGCGGTGTTCGACAACGTTTGAACTAAACAAGGTACCACCAGACTTGACAAACAGAAATAATTTCAGACTTATGTCGCATTAATGGAAAGTTGGGGAAGTGGAAAAATGTGAATTTTTCTCAAGATATATAATCAGAATAATTTGAGCGATTCACACTCACTTGTCTGATAAAGAGAAAAACCGATAAAGAAACTTACATAAACATACAAAATTCTGTACATATTTTTTAACAGTATACGACGAGGAAATGAATAAATATGCAAAGATTTTAAAAGATGAGAACTGTTGAGCTTTGAAACAAAGTTGATAGAGTAGGGCTTCAAAATGTACTGCTGAATGATGTATTTAATCAGATATGACATCGCTTACACTGATCAGTAGGTATCAGCGAAAAAGGTTAGAATGATTAAGAATATGCAGAATATTAATCATGCTCTAATCTTACACGTATATATATATATATATATATATATATGCATCACGTTCAGGGCTGCACTAAGCTTAGTGATTACCTTGTACTTGTACTCTTGATCGATTCATTTCAACCAACATAATTACGACTAGATAACTGAATTGATAATAGTCCAGCAAACAAATCTCATTTATCACCTGTTACTGGTAGTCAATAATTTTATTACTCAGTGACCCAGGTTCAAGTCATGAAGACAACAAAACTTTCCAAGAATATCTGACATATAAATGCCAGCAAGTAAGAAACTCAGAAGTAGAGGTTCCAGTCACCTTTCTCAAAAGGTGTAATTGTGAGTCTTTTCTCGGCGATATTTTCACTGACACACCTGATTTACGGATGACTGACTGTTATGGAGCTAGACAGTCAGAAAAGTTATCATCCGACGACCGATTCGCATAGAACTAATTGTATAATGCTTTAAGCTGTTATATTTTTATATTGACACATTACACAGAAATAAACATAAGAGAAGACAATGTAATGTAAATCATGATACCAGGAACTGTGAAAAATCACGACGACAAAAATGAAAAATAAACAAAAAGAATAAAGATATAAGCGCGGTATCATGATTTAGACGAACCTAGTGCACTAATACATGTGAACCATTACGTCCGATTCCTGCTTTTTAAATATTTATTACGTATTTTTCTACAATTAAAATCAAGCTTATAAAGCAAAACAATTGTCACAGTATCCACAGCTTACAAAATAAATATTCAGATAACAAATTTCCTCATGTAAAATTCTGTATATTTGAACTCTTCGAGAATGAAATCAATCAACATGTAAATAGACTAAGGAGAAATTAAAACAAATATTACTTACATCTCCATGATAAGTTATGCCGCGCTAGAATAAAACTTAAAAATGAATCATCTTTAATAGTATCATCGTGTGGTAGAATAGGCAAGATATTTGATTGTGTCGATTTATTAACAGCATTATCAGCCGCCTTAGGGAAATGACCCAATATTGCATGACAAATAACAGGTCTTAAACTAGGCACTTGATCACAAAATCCACGTAACCAACGAAGGAATAGGCAGAAAAATACTTCTAATGAATAGATATCTGCATGTTGAGCTTCACATTTCAACGGGCGTGTAGATAGACTTGTAGAGGTACGCTGAAAAGCAAAGCAAAAAAAATAATACAAAAAAGTAAGAAAACCTTTTTGGTTTATAGAAAGATGTTTGTAATTATGTCATGGATATATGAAATATATGAGAATTGATTGTCTAAACATGAAAATGTAGGAGGTTCTAAACAGTTCCCAAGTTAAATACTAATAGCTCTTCGTTAAAGTACAATGGCAAGTCAGATTTCAGAAAATCTCTGCTTATATACAATAACTCGGTCACCATGCTTTTTCTGAATACATGATTCTGCATAACAAGTTAGTTTAGGAAGAAAACAACCATGAACAGCGATGTTTCAAACATAAATTTCAGTATTCTAAGTTTTCAACTTGATTGAACTGTTTTGATTCGTAAGTAAGACACTAAAACTACACACAAAACACAAAAATAAGAACAAATACTAGCCATATATAAAAACTGAAAACCACATAAGAAAAGAATCTGGAGTGAAAAATAAAAATGTATCTTTTAACACGATAACGAAGATTTATAGAAAGTAAAAATGTTTTCAAAAGATTTATTATTAGGCAAGTACTTAATCGTCTATTGGGAGATTACAAAGAATGAATACATTTGCACCAGTAAGAAAGATTTTGGTTCATATCAATAACAAGTTTAAGCCATGGGTTCTCAGTATCTCGAAGACTCTAGCCAGGTTAACTTGAGTCAATTGTGAATGACTTGATATGATTATGAGCAATAGTTTGTGCTCGAAACGTCATCAGTTAATATTGCAACAACAGAAGACAAGGGCCAGGCAACAGATCCTTTATTAAGGAAAATCAACACATATTTATAGATTTTAATGTACATTATTGTTAGTAGAAAATACAGTCTTTTGATTGGTTGTTTCTCACAGAAAGTTAACCTTGCATCTCTTTGTGGCTGTGTCAGATCATCCATATGCCAACTGCATCCGCCTACGCAAAGCCTTTGTTCTCATTTTCTCACCACCAATATTGGGGACATAAACATTGACGTCAATTACTGTCTACCAACTTTGGCTAGCAGCCAGCTCTCACCACAATATTACTGTATGACACTGTGATTTATCAAAATAAAATCTTATCTATAGTGAACTTGTTCAGCACAACATGGCTGGACAAATAATGACTCCAGCTTAGTGATAGGCGAACAGACAAGATTATACATCAGAGAAGTTGACCACTTATTCAAATTATTAGAATTCGTAGAAGTACCAAAATAATAATACGTTCAAAGCAAGATGACTGAATAACCTACCATCAAAGCTGATGCTAAATTAGCTGCTTGTGTAATAGTAAGATTCATTTGAAGGACTGTACGACCATCGCAATTAACAAGTACTGCATGATGTGTACCCTGCTGGGTTGTACAGTCTAGAACTCGTCTCAACGTTTTGATAACCTAAAATTTGAAAACAAAGACCATGAATAAGTCACCAGCATTGAGAATGGTTAAACATTAGCATCGTATACCTATAAAGAGACTTCAATAGTACCTGTTCATAATTGTGAAACTCATTGTTATAAAGTACGACCAGAAACGCTCGAGAAGCAGCAGTACGGTCGGAAGCTGTACGCATTGACCTTGGAGGGAATAATCTAGGATGATAAATCCTAGCTCTTTCCAACTGAGCTAAGCATCGGGCTTCAACATCCTCTGATGAACGACGTCCAGAGGCAGTTCTCGGCCAAGCATCCTGTCCTAACACTACAGCATCTTCTGCAGGCAAGACAAGAGGAATATGAGACAGTTGTGGAGGCCAAGAATCCCATACATTTTCATTGTCCGATGTATATTTAACTACACCGTCATCTGTGGACCACAAATCATCAATAACATCCTGTTCCTCTGCAACACCCGTTTCTGATGAACTTTTGGTTACTGAGGTACCACCTTTACGTAGTCGACTGCTCAAAGCTTCAGTCGTTAAACGATGCGCGCCCTGAAATGAAAACAAACCAAACCAATTCAAATGAGTTTTGATCACAAAAACCATTCATGACTGGCAATGGAAAAGTGACTTAGAAAATAATTATATTAAAATTAAGTTTATATCTGAAGTTTATCCTATTTCTAGGATTTCCTGCGACATTCTAACATTGGACAGCTTCACGGAAGAAATTCAACACTTCATGCCCAAAATGAAATACTTACAACTGCAAATCTACCTTGAATGAATTCTTATTCAGCGATACCCCGAATCTTGAACCTTAAGTGAAAGAAAAGCGGTGGTGATATTTAATGGTTAACTTTAGTTCTCTAAACAAACCAACTCACAACAACAGGTGGAGGTGAACTTCTGAAAGGTTTTACAAACGTTTCCAGAATTACTCACAGTATTAGTTACAAATGGGAAGAATTTCAACGAAAAGGTTACTCAAAGATCACTTATAAATCGGGTGTTTAGTATCTGCCCATATATAATTAGACTACTTTCTGCATCAGAAAGTATCTATATATCTCCCAAAAAGCGTAAGGTCACTTATCAAGTCTGTTGGGAGGGTTATTTACTTCACTAGCGGTACAACAGATAGATGTATAATGATTCCAGTACGCAGACAATATGACGAGTCTTATGAATGTTTACCCTGCTGAACTTTTTAATCTTGAAGAACTTCCCGAATTACTTCACAACCAACGCTGTCGAAGGCATTTCCAAAGATGCAGAAGTTGAGGGACAGAGTTGATTTACATTGTAGGCTGTATTTGATCATGCGTATAATTGCAATTTGATTCCTTCTAGACTTGTTTTTCTTGAATCCAGCCTGTTCCATGTGGAATTTTTCATTCAGGACATCTTTAAGTCTAATCATGACAATGAGACTTAATATTTTACTTAAGGTGAACAGTAAAGAGATGCCACGTTCTTCTTTAGAAGTGTGACAGAATAAACTTTCTTCCAACCTACATGTTCCTGCATTGTCTTCCACATCCTCTGAAGTAGTGGAGTCTCTGGATTCGTTTTCAGTGACTGTGGGGGTACTCTATCTGACCCCATCGCTTTCAGAAACTTTACAGCCCTCAAGACTTCTGTTTCTATCGTAGAGTTGGTACTCACTGGTAGTTCTGCGTCGTGGGATGGTATTTCTGGACGGCTTGTAAGATTTGAAAGATTCATGAGCTGTTCTAAGTGATGAACCTGTCATTCCTTGTGTTTCACTCCTTTGCTAATTGGATTTGCTTCATAATCTCTCACTGGCTTCATCTGCGTCCATCTCTTCCCGGATAGCCACCCTGTTATTATTTGTTTGATATAGTCTTCTCAGGTTTGTGTCACTCGCATCAAGTTGTGCTTCAATCGCTGATGCGTCGTAGAGGTGTTTTTGTCCTCTCTAGCACTCTTCTTAACGTCTTCGTTCAGTGCGCTGCAGATATTATACTCGGCTTCTGCTCTCTTTCTTCATCTCTTCACTGCTTCATCTTCCGCTTGACTATTCTTCTCTCGTGTAACAGACAGATTCCAGGTGTCCGTGGAGAACCACTTCTTGTCCTGCCCCTTTTTCTTGTCACCCATGATATCTATACTGGTTTTCGTTCACGTCGCTTTCACAGAGTTCAAGCATTCTTCTCAGAGATGTCGCTTAAAATTTGTGACTTCTTCCCGATGCCTGCAGTGGTGTCCGTTAGATGAAACCCATATTGCCTTGTGTGTATGCTTGTGCACACGCTACCCCTAATCACCAAGCCTTCAAATGCGCGTAAGTGTGCAAAGAGTTCGCTGCTCTCATTTATTTTAGCGAGAACCTCTCGACCTATGATGAGTTGCCTTCCGCATTGAGATCACCAGTTAGGATTTTAATGTCTCTATCTGGCTGTGGTCTTGTCCATTATAACTTGCAGATGTCAGTGGAAGTCGTTTATTCCAGTATGCGTTGTTTGCAGTATTAAATAACTGTAACTTTCCTTTTTGATGATTTGAGAAATTGATTTCCACTGTATGATAGCCATGCTACCATGCTATTGATGAAATCACCAAGGCCACACTCTTGGTGTCATCGCGGTTGTCGTCTGGGTGATTGCTGACTCGTTAGTTATCTGTTTAGAGAGTCCACTTGCATTCGATCTGTTTTCACAGATGCAAAACACCTCTATATGATATTTTACTTCTGATATGTGGGCAATTTTTTAGTCTCGAAACTGTTGCAGATATTTTCTGTTCCCATGCCTAATTTTGCTTTCATCAAAAGAATTATAATAGCAATTTAAATTAGTTGCAGAATTACTAAAGAATGAATAGCATGGGATCGCACCCGTTACACAAAATTCGTTTCCTAATGTAAAATCACTTGCTGAAGATCTTCGGCTTAATACAATACATGCAACAAATGTTAATAGGACAGAATTACTTTATTACCACGTTTTGCTTGTTTTAAATTTGTATCGGGAAATAAATGTCTCCAAATTTACAATGCATTGCATAACCAGTCGATGGCAGAAAGTCTACCAAGACAATTTAACATGTAAACTCACATGTTTACTACAAAGGGGCCATGTTTCAGACATAGAAACGAAATACAAAAGAGGAAATTCCGTACACTCGACCTTCAACTTTCACAAATGCATTGGGATAGCACTAGGGCAAACCAGACTAGCGTCTGCTTCTCTGGCTTTCGATAAACCATTTGAAATCTTATCGATCATACTCTAATCGGCTCTTACACAACTAATAATTATAGACTTTTCTAGTAATTCTGACGTTTCATTTGCGGTAGTGGATGCAGTCACAGGCTTCTGCCAACGTCGTAAAAGTTCTATGAAACTATGATAGTACGAGGCACATATTGTACATAGGAAAATCGATCACTACTTGGTTAAGTGTAAATGCAGCAGTCTACATCGTCATAAAGTAACGCAACATCCTTCACATAAAGATATTTAAGCAATATCCTTCTAATAATTCAAGGGTGAAACAACCGCATCTAAATCAAAAGCTAGATAAAATGATATCTAGATCGGGAAATTTAATTCCGGATTTTAAACAATTGGTGACAGCGTTCGTATATCTTAGTGAAGAATATTAAGTATGATGAACATTTATGAGTGTTTTCAACATGATTCAGTGTAAGTTAGTAAGTCTTCGTTGACTACTTTCACAATTTAGTTCGCAACTCTTTCAATAGTCAACAATCATGGTTACAAGCACCATAAAGTGGAGGACTTATTCGTAAGCACGCTACGAGGGAGAAAAACCAATAATTCTCAGATTCTACCGATCAGTGGTGATTTGAAATTATTACTCAGAAGACTTACTTGGATTAAATCAGTAAGGCAGAGAGCTGCACTATTCAGTAAAGGCTTCAATAATCTTCCTGTTCGCTCAACGACATCTGGTGGGAGACTATTAATTCGTTGACGAAGATTGTCAAGTTCAGCTTTTAGTTTGGCATCAATATCATTAATATCAGCTAATTCAGACGGAACAACTTCCTCCTCTTTGTCCCCTCCTTCACGGTGTTCTGATGAACCTGTATGCAGCTTACACCAGGCATCTGACCGCCAAGCTTCAGGATCACCGCAATCACAATAGCCAACACCAGACGACGTGCTAATCTATAAAGTAAAATATTTCACATAGCTTAAGAAATGAAATCTGGTTCAGAGACAAGGCATCAAAAAAATATTAGTAAACTAACGTTTCCCTGACAACATGAGCCGATTTGTTGTATGAATTGTATGATTACAACTATAATAATGAATTATAACTGTATTATTGACTTCAACATTTTGCTTACAGACAAACGTATGATCCATAAACGATTTTATATAAATAACATCATAAACGCAGTAAAAACATCTTGACCTTGTTGTATTTTCTCAACTAGATAGCTTCATTGAGAGGCTATCATTATCTTTAAAAACATCTTCAACGCCAACTTTGAAATCGCACTAGGAGTTTCATTAATATTAAGTACTGTATCAAAAAATTGCGGCGAATACTGGAATCACAGAATACACATAAACTTTCACTGTTAGTTTCACTCAGACTAAACACTGCCAACAGTACATCTTCAAAGATCATATATCACTGGGTTACAACCAAAGAAAGTAACTCATTTACGCGTACTAAACCAATTTCAACTCCCTTATTATTCACCTACATACTTAAATTGTTCAAAACAGTCGTAATGTGAAATATCGAAAAATACTGTCATTGAACATACCTTGTAGTTATGCGTCATATGCGCACTATTGAAGAAACAAGCTCGACACAGAACGCATGTTGGATCCACAGCACAATCCCTATAAAGTCAAATACACGCGACTATGAAGTTACTTTTATCAAAATGTACCCAATGGTTATTTTTCAGTTGAAATGGAATCACGAGTTAAAGTAATGAAACTTTACCATTGAATTGTAGCTGGCCGAAACAAAATACTACTAGTTTTAATTCCTTCGTTCCGCAACATAACACGAGAAAAAGAATGAGGGGAAATATGCATTGAAATGGATTGAGAGTCACTGAGACATTCAACACCTAGGCAAATTAGGGTAAATTGACATTTACTACATCTACTGATAACTAGCAATGCAACATTAGAAAGCCAATTTTAAACATCCGATCAGGACTAAATACACCGAAAACTTCGTACAGAACTACAACTTGATTTCCTACATTACGACGGGCAATGTTAGCTGATATAGGGTCAGGCTGGAAAAGAGCTAGCGGCGGTCAAACGAAAACATGGCACCAGTCAATGAAATCCACAACAGTTAGTCTAAGCCACGTAGGAAGGTGTAGACTTCCTGGTTGGGGTCCTCGGAACGGTAAAAACCAATGGTTGGAAACAATTAGTGACATGCCTCGAAATCGTTCTCAGTGGCGCAGATGCATCCACTCTTTGTGACTTATGATTTCCAACTAAACTGTTTTGTTCTTCGTTATTACTATTCCTTTGTCTCACACCTCTGTTTACTGTCTATATTGTGCATTTCTCCTACTTTCTTCTCTTGCTCTGTGTGCCACATGGAGGGAGTGTGGCGACTTGAACTGCCGCACATATGTGCAAAGTTCTATGTCGAAAACCGACCGACCGACCGACATTACGAAGAAGCACAAGAAATTAACGTTGCTAAAATGGATGTTAGTATAAGGTAGTTTACTATTATAATAAAAAAACAATCTTGATGAAGAATTGATAGAAAAACGTGTCGCAATAAACACTTCACCAACACCCGACCGATAGCTGCTACCTTGACGTGGTGGTCGCGATGACCCAACAAGCTACACTGGCTGCAGCCAATGTTCCTGCAGGTCCTAAAATGCCCGGAAGGTTCTTTGGATAGATATTAGACTAGAAGCAGTTACCGGCATAGTGTAAGAATCTTTCTTACACTGTGCTGGGGCTCTGTGGGCGAAGTCGTACTGCCGGGAACAGGGGTGTAACAGCAGTGAGGTGTTTCCCGCAGATGACCAGTATGCCAGCTATGCTGTCTCTCCACTCTGGAGAGAGGGGGTTAGAAAAGGTCGGCCCCAAAAATTGTACATCCCGACTTACCCTACGGTGCTCCGTAACCGGCGGTAAGTTTACTAATACGGAACCAAACCAAGAAACCAGTTCATACAAGCCGTGTGTGACCGGCCTCAAGCAGTTGTCCCCTGGGCTCTGCGGTCACGCAACACTAACCCTCTCTCTTTTTCAGGTACCCAAAGATTTAATCAACTTCCAAAGTGTGGACAGCCGAGAAGTAACAACGGCCCACACCTTTCCAAAAGCACACGAAGTCTTCCTGAGCATCATTCTCCTCTACCCACATAACTTTCATCATCTTATTCCCCTACTACAGTTAGTACTATTCTTCAGGTTAGTGAGGCACCTTCACTTCACTCTGACCATAAATAAAAATCCAACAACAACATAAGGAAAAGAGAAACGAATTGTTGGGGCACAACAGAATGGAATAAGCATCTGAGCCTATTACATTACATATTAACTTCAGAAGTTAAGGAAAAATATGGAATAGGAAAAATAAAATGACAAATAGTTGACACATTCGGAATACATCAGGTGATTAGAGTAATTCAATGTGGACAAGTGTGAAACATGCTACCTAATATATAACGATTCACTAATTTCATTATGATGGTAATAGCAAAACAATCTACACTATCGTACGTGGCTTGGACCAACGGCTAAATACTTTTGTTTGACCACTCTGGCTTTCTCAACTAAATCCTACTTCAACAGACTAGGACGGTTAGCATGTAGTGCGAATATGACCAAGCCCAATTTCTGTAATATATAGCTGTTATGAATGAAGTACCATGAAAGTGAGACGTAATAAATATCTTTATGATTTTACTACACTATGTTAATAAGCAGACAAAAACCAACCAAGGGTACCGTAAGTGTATGACGAAAACAAGTGTGATAATGTGGCAAACTGAAATAAAAGTTCTCAAATAAACACAGCTATGTCCACTTTTATTTTTGCAGATAGAATTCGTAGAAAACGAAGTACTTGTTGACTTGGTCGGTGACCCGTACGAGGTAAGTAAAATAAAACTTGAAGTTACCTTTACAAGTGAATGAACTGGTCTAACATATGTACAACGAAGCGCTCATACGTAAAACAACGCTTACAGACAGCTTGATATGGTTGGATGTCAACATCAGTGGAGAAGTTAAATTACAATAGCACATGACCAACGACCCGTTACAGTTACAGAGAGCATAATCGAACCAAACTGTCTTCTTTCCTGGATTCGCTTAACGAGTCCCAGGAAAGTTTTTTGATTACTATGTGAATAACATTGTAATTACAAGAACATGTATATGCGAGGAAAGCTTGACAGAAACGGTCGGTTAAAAGGAATACGATCTTATTGATATAAGTATAAAACTTGGGCACTGTGGTAGAGTATAATTCCATAATGGATAAGATTTTATTTTGATAAATCACACAGTGTAGTACAGTTATATTAACTGTATCCGACACCGATGACATGACTAGCGTCATCGACAAAACAGTACATGTTCCCAATGTGTCTCTGTCAATTAGAGAATGCCCTTCAGCACAGAAGAGCATCCACCATATTCCAGACACCCATGCTGCCCCTACGATACAGGACAAGTCCTCCAGTGACAGTAGTGGAAAGGCTGGCACGAAGAAGAGGCGTACCAAGGGTCGAAAACCTGCAACTTAAGTCGCCCGGGGACTGGTAGATCAAGCCTCATCCATCCCGGTGGACAGCAGGCAGAGAAAATTGACTGCAATTAGTGAGGAGGACGCCAGTGAATGGCGTAATGTAGTCTCTCGCAAAAAGTGAGATAAGGACAACATATCGGCTACACTGCCCACGAAGGACAAAAAGACATTTACACCGCAGAGCAAGAAGGCCACGGCAAATAAATCTGATCTCTCTAACAGGTCGCTTATTCTCCACAAAGTGGAAGAGTCACTGGCCTCCGATCCCAAGGCTAGATCCAAGCATGACCTTAACTTCATCAAGCCCCTTTTAGATAAGCCACTACCAAAAGCAGTATCAGGCATAACAATACACAGTGTATATAGAATCAGCCAAAAGCCTGATCCTACGGTAAATCAGCCTGTAAGTCTCCTCAAAGTCGTACTAAACTCCCAAGAAGAGAGTGATGCCATTCTAAGCAACTCTCAAATTCTTAAAGGATAAGGAATATATGTCCGTGCCGACTTAAGCCTAGCAGACCGTGTCAAAAGACAGTCTGTAGCCCTAGAATTAGGCGACCGACATTGAAACGGCGAAAACAACCTTAGGATTAAAAGTTTTCGGGTAATTCAAGTTCGCAGTTTAATGATCCCGAAACCTCTGTGGGTAGACTGCGGAATCACCACACTGAATTAACAGTTTGCTACACAAACGCCCGCAGCCTGTTGAACAAACGGACTGAGCTGATTAATATCATAGACTCCGGATGTAATTGTCATCACAGAGACATGGACCACACCCGATGTCACTGACAACGAAGCTAACCTGCCAAACTCCGACTAAATTGCAAAGGGAGTGGCGTAGTTATTTATCTCAAGAAATGCTTGACCGTGTGTATCATCGAAGCACTCGCTCACGAAAGTGAATCGTGCAAACTTCTACGCTGCCGACTTAAATGCATAGGCCAAGACACTGATCTCATTGCTATATACCGCAGTCCTGACTGCAGTGCAGATGACTTCTTAATAGAGAAGCTAGGCTCCTGAACTTTGAAATGTCGAAGTCTCGTAGTCGGTGACTTCAAGGCCCCAACAGGTGACTGGATGAGCCTTACAACGCCATCTTCAGTCAACTCCTTTGTTCATAAACTGCTGGAATCTAGTATATCGCTAGCCCTAGTCCAACAAGTCATTAAGCTCACGCGCTATGACTCAAGGCACTCCTCCTCAAATCTAGACATAGTGTTCTCCCACAGTGAGGATATGGATCTCATACAACATCTTCCTCTTTTAGGAAGAAGTGATCATGCTGTGTTCACAGCAACAGCAGCAAGGGCCAAAACCCCAGCTCGACCAAACGGCTGGAAAGCTGATATAAATGCGATAGTCTCAGCAGCCAACTCAGTGAACTGGTACATCAACCCAGAGTCCCAAGTAGAAACCGCATGGAACCAATTTAAAGAACTTTACGCCCAAGTAACTGAACCCTTTATCCCATGGTCTGTCCCAAAGGGTCGGAAACATCGCCCTCCTCCTTCGATAAACCAAGTGATTCCTAAGTTACTCAGACGTAAACACAAAGGTTAGAACCTGTTTGCCACACTTGAAACTCATGAGACCAGGAAATTATATAACACTGCTAGGAATAAAACTATTACAGAAATCCGCCAATCAAGGACGAAGTTCGAAGCATATCTGGATCAAAATGCAAAGGTGCGACCTAAGAAAATCACCTCGTACATGAACTTCAGGAACAAAACATCTAATGGTGTCCCAAACCTGACTACTGACAATGACACAGTCGAAGGAGATCAAGAAAAAGTAGAAGCGATAGCAGACTACTTCTCCCAAGTCTTTACACAGAAGTCATCACTACCGATAGGATCAGCTCTGGTTGCATCAGAGGAATACGGGGTAGATTCCATTGACATCGACCACGACATCGTGCTCAACTACCTAGTGAAACTAGATGCATGGAAATCAATACGTCCTGATAATCTTCATCCAAGGCTTCACAAGGAGCTATCAGCTCACATACCCGGCCCTTTGACCACGATCTCCAAGCTCTCTCTCTCTCTCGAATAGTTACCGCGTGACTGGAAGGACGCCATAGTAGCCCTCATCCACAGAGGACCAAGAAGAAACCCTTCAAATTACAGGCCTATTAGTCTCGCCAACACTTTGATCAAGACACTGGAGAGAACCATCAAGAAAAGCATCATGGCATATCTGGAAAACAACAAAATGTTATCCAGAGCACAGCACGGCTTTCGAAGAAGCCTCTCATGTCTGTCAAATCTCCTCACTGTAATCGAAAGCTGGGTCAAATCAAGGGACAACAGAAGACACGTTGACGTCGTCTTCATAGACTTCAGCAAAGCTTTTGATAAAGTTCTTCACAAAAGACTACTCATGAAGTTGGAAAGTCTTGGTATCAAAGGCGGATTACTAAACTGGCTCAGGGAATTCCTCATAGATAGGAGGCAGAGGTTTATGATCAACTTGAAACTCCCCCCCTTGACAGCAGTGCGTAGCGGAGTGCCACAAGGCAAGGTACTCGGACCTCGCCTACTTATTTTGTATATCAATGAGTTATCTCTGCTCACCGATTCTCCTATGGTCCTATACGCAAATGACTTAAAAATTTGGAGAGAGCTGAAGGGCAACAGTGATACGTCCACAAATTGTCAGAGTGGTCCAGAGATTGAATCCCACCAGGTCGGAACAACTTAGTGGACATAACAGGAGAGTTCAAAAGCCAAGAAATCATATTGCTGTTGAGTGCTGGTTCTCACACCGAGTCATAAACTCTTGGAACCGACTCCCAGAAGAAGTGGTGTCTGCAACTTTAACTGATTCATTCAATAAGGGTTTGGACAACCACAGAAATTTACTAGAAAAGGACTAACATAGGCTCCAAGCCTTCTATCCTCAACCAATAAGTCTGAAATCGAATCTTCATAAACAGCTAAAGGAAACAAACAAATTACCTGCAACAATATGTTGGTTCATTAGCTTGAAATATCCGGCCACATATTCCTTGCTGGCCGATAGCGCATGAGCGCAAGTGACACTCTAAGCGGTTTGCGCACTCCCCCGAATCTTCTGTGCTCGTCATTATATCTCTGCCTGCAATATACTGCTCAAAACTACGGAATATAGTCTTTTCTAGTGCACAGTATTCTGATTTGCCTGACTCAAAGTCACTTTCACCGGCTGAATCAGATCCCAGATTCTCAGGTGGTTTCACGACTTGAGGAGCACATACAGTGAACGCCTGCGTTCTGATTTCATCGTACAGAATACGCTCAAAGTCTGCATTGTCACAAGAAAGCAAAGCTTCTGCGAACTCCTATAAAGGGAAAACAAATTAAAACATGTAATATTTCGAAAAATCATCTAACCATCAGGACTTCAGCAAGCCCACTGTAAACAGTTTGTTCACAGAATGCGCTATTTCAATGTGCTCAAACCGAAAATGAAACTTTAAGTTGGGATTAAAGACCTTCAACCCCATTATAATCCTTAAATATCAAATGTAGCTTTCCTTCAGTTGTCTCTGGAAAAAACTTTTTATTAATGCTCATTATGATAGGAGTTAATTTCATTTGTAAGTGTATGGTTTGTAAATAGGTATGCATGCACCTCGGCATGACGTATCGGTCGTGAAATATGTTTTGTAGTTCTGAGACTCCGTATTTCGATCCGATTAATCTTATAATTTTTAATCTCAAATAAGCAAACTCAAAATGGAGAATATGATAGGCATATAACAACTTCATCGAAACACCCAGAGAATCTTAAATTCCGGTGTCATATGATATCTAATTCATGCTACCACCTGCAACCAGAGTCACTTTTCTTGCTGTTCATAGAATTCACTAGTTGTATCTAATTACATTTATTCCCCAGTTGCGACTAAATATGTACGCCACTTGCTAAGAAGCTATTCTTGACATTCATCATATTCTAAGTCTACTTGCAGGCACTCAAGGAAGTCATGTTTCAAGCAAAATACTATTTGGTAGACCAAAAGCATTAAATAATAAATTAGTCCTATCAATCTATGCAGTTTCCATATCTTAAAACGAGAAACGTCTACAGTATCTGATCGGTTAGTGAAACAGTTACGTATGTACGCCACTATATATTTTGTAACGCTTTGAGTTTGGTTCGTACACTGAACCTGGTGTTGCATATCAGTTTTTATTTGCGTCATTAGCCCCCATGTGCTTTACTTCGTATTTCACATGAAATTTCTATGTACATATTTGGCATCCGTTTCTATTACCTACATAATTTCGTGCAATTATTTAGCAAGGTCACCAACATATTTTACAATCAGGTATATCAAACCTGACCGGGAGTCTAAAAAATGATGAGAGATTGATATGATCTGAGTCCCTAAGATCACATGTGAAACAGCTTTTTTGAAAATACAGATAGAGTATTCACAGTTCGAACGCCTCTACATAAATTTGATTCCTGGATTAGATGACACACCTGAGCTATGCGGATTTAGTTGCTTGCGCAGCGACAGGGTTTTTTTTTTTGATTTACAGCTTGATTTCCACACCGTATTTTCAGTACAAGTGTGGAACTTTCAGCATGGATATCGGTTGCCCAAATTCAGGCATACCATAGATATCGGGTGTGCGCCGGCAGGGGTTCGAACCCCGGACCATGTGCATGGTCAGCGAGAGTCCTAACCACTGTGCCACCGACGTACATCAACAACTCCCTACATGTTCGTTCCGTGAAATCTGAAGCGCATGACAGTGGGACAAGTGAGGTAATTAGCTGTGAATTAAGCTTTGCAACTGGCACTTTACTCATTGGTGTTCTGTATAGAAGTCCCTATTGTCAGTGTGATGACTTTATTTTAGATCACCTCAAACAATGGAGTAAACACAGTAGCTGTCTTATTCTAGGTGACTTTAATGCACCTCATATAGACTGGATAGCTGGCACATCTCCAGGATCCACTAATAAGTTTGACAGCCGGTTACTCTTGACTACCATGGAAAATGCCCTGACACAACATGCCTTAGGTAGTACAAGATTCGGTTCTACCCAAGGATCTTCCTTGCTGGACTTAGTGCTTACTCATGACAACGACGACGTGGATGGTCTAGTTATTCATCCACCTCTAGCAAACAGTGATCATGGGGTGTTAGATTTTAACTTGAGGGTTGGCAATTTAGTCAGTTTTCAACCCAAATCCCGACCTAGTGTTTGGCATGCTGACATAGTCTCTATAAAGGAGCATGCTTCAACTACCGACTGGTCAGTCAATATTGTCTCATCCATTGAAGATGAATGGGATAGATTTAAGAATACACTTGAGAGGGTTACCACTGATTTCATTCCCTGGAGGGTTCCTAAAAGACCAACAAACCGGCCACCATGGATAAATAGACAAGCTATAACACTCCTAAGACGGAGAAAAAGGTTCTGGAATCTCTTTGTTTCTACTGGGCTACAGCAGTTCCGGCTGAAATACTGTGAAACCAGAAACCAGTGTAAAACTTTGATTCACCAGTCAAGGATAGCTTACGAAACCCAATTAGTTAAAAGTTCACCAGGCTGCCCAAAAAGACTCTTCTCATATATCAAGAGAAGAACACGTAAGAGTGATGCTATCCCACCTCTTATGCTTGAAGATGACCAGACAAACATGGCTGAGGATAACTTGACTAAGGCTGAGGCTTTGTCCAAGCACTTTAGTCAAGTATTCTCTGATAATATTGATACCAGCTTTGTAACTTTTCCAGAAGGTAACTTGAAAATGGCACCCTTATACATTGGAAAGGATACTGTCCTAAAGTACCTCCTAAGGCTCAATCCTGGTAAGTCCAGTGGCCCTGATGAACTCCACCCACGTATTTTAACAGCATTGGCTGAAAACATAGCCGAGCCATTGTCGGTAATCTTCAATATGTCTCTGGACCAGTCTAAATGTCCAAGAGACTGGAAAGATGCCATCATTAGTCCAGTCTTCAAAACCGGATCTAGAAACTTAGTTCAGAACTATCGTCCTGTTAGTTTGACCAGTATTGTTGTTAAACTACTAGAAAGAATAATTCGTGATGCTATCATTCAGTTCATTGAAGGGAACAAACTTTTCGCTGTGGAACGGCATGGTTTTAGAGCAGGTCATTCTTGCTTGACCAACCTTCTTTTGGCCAGAGAAAGTTGGGCAAGCTCAGCTGATGCTAATATACCAGTGGATGCCATATTCATCGACCTTAGCAAGGCGTTTGACAGGGTTTCTCATTCAAGTCTTCTAGTAAAGTTAGGTAGTCTGGGAATCAATAAAGTGGTTGCCGACTGGATTCAAGACTTTCTAAAGGACAGAAGACAAAGAGCACGAGTTAACGGGGTTTTATCAACATGGGAATCGGTTAAGAGTGGCGTTCCTCAGGGTACAATTCTAGGCCCACTTCTTTTCCTGATTTGTGTTAATGAGATTCCATCGGTAGTTAGGTCATCCTGCTTACTGTTTGCTGACGACATCAAGATATGGAGGGCTTTACACGATGACAGTGATCAACTTGCTTTGCAGGAAGATTTAAACTTGTTAAGTGATTGGTGTAAGCACTGGGCCTTGGAGATTAACTTAAGCAAGAGTGTAGTTATGCATGTATCTCATAGTCACGTGCACAATTACTCAATGAATGACATTACTCTCCCAGTGGTCACTGAGTACAAGGACTTGGGAGTGGTTGTGCAGCATGACTTGAAAACAACAACAAACTGTAGAGCTGCAGCCACTAAAGGTTTTCGAATATTATGGGCCATTCGCAAAGCTTTTGCGAATTTTGACGCCGAAATATTTCGTATATTATATCCGACTTATATCAGACCTCATTTGGAATATGGGATCCAGGCAGCGAGCCCGTGTTTCAAATACGAAATAGACTTATTAGAAAGAGTGCAAAGAGTAGGAACTAAGCTAATAAAGGGTTTCTCAACCCTCTCATATGAAGAGAGGTTAAGTCGACTGGGTTTATTTCCACTGTCATACAGACGACTTAGGGGTGACCTAATACTAGCATACCGTATCCTAAGAAATGATTTTGGAGCAAATTTATCTAATTTATTTCTTCCTTCTAGCACCAACCAATTGCGAGGACATCACCTCAAGGTTCAAAAACCACGGTCGAATCGTCTGCGTCTGGAGATCCGTTTTTCGCATCGGATTGTGAACCATTGGAACTCCCTACCGGAACACGTCGTATCAGCGCCATCCGTTGACTCATTCAAGGCGAGATTGGACCTCCTGTGTGTAACAAATCGAAAGGATTAACACAGGCATATAGCCTACTATCCTAAATAAATTGTAAACTGTAAATTGTTTTAGTAACGTTCCGACGTTATTTTAGATTACGAGTGAGCTGCACAAGTTTGAATTAGCTAAATACTTCACTCCGAGTGAGGCTAAAAGTTATAACCGTATGTTTTCGCTCAGTGTTGGGTTATTGCGCTCACGCCAATAGAGGCGTTATAATCTCTCAGTTTTGTAAAAATAGATTATATTTGACTAGCTTTAGGCTTCTGTAGCCGAAAAAAGCAATGTTTTTGGTGTATTGTGTTAGTAGTTTGGAAGTTGAAGGTATCGACGTTCGCGAACTGTACGGATTATACTAAGGCAAGATCTTATACCAACAACTTCTATAGTGTTCGTTCTTCGAGTACCAAAGATAAAGCGAAAGACCAGATATTGTCGTCCAAAGTACGTAATATATTTCGGGACAAAATCGCGGGTAGAGGTGAATGCTTAGCTAGCTAGTAATCGTGCACGCACGTGACACGATGGAGCAGCAAATGGCGGGGGTGCTTGACCGGAAGCCTCCAGCTAAATAAGTCGACTTAAACAGTGATGGTCAGCATCCAATGTTGAGTGATGATTGCTGTGGTTAGTAATTTTGGGGAATTATTTACCGCTACAGTAGTAATGCGTAAAATTGTCTTGAGAGCCCAGACGAATTATTATTAAAAAAGGTATCTTTTTTAAGAAATTTCGCATAGAAGGACTATTATTTGCGTTTTAGATCCTTGAGGCTTTGTTTATTGGGAATTGTTTTAGATCTTAAGGTTGTAAATTGACTACAGGCAATGGCTGTTGTCATCTATGTTGTTGTTATTCTATGAGAATAAGGCATTTGAAAGAGAAATAGCCTACAGACATGAGTTAGGTGTGTGTTTTGAGGATGTTAAACTCTTCTGTTATCATGTGTGATAACTAAAATATTCCATAACTCATCGAAGAGATCATGTGATGAATGAGACAGGCTGTTGAATTTCCTGATTTTATCTATTTTAATGAAGTTCCTAGTTAAAATTGCTTAAGCGAAGATGTGATACTAGTTAAATAATAATTTACTTTATTCCAAAAACAGTACTT